TAATTGTGTTACATAATTATCTCCTTTATTTCTGTGTATAACAGCAGTGTATAATTGAGCAGCTTTGCTGTTTTTGTCAATAGTCTTATAGTCAGTCCATATTTTAAGTATTTAGTTTACTTTATTAATTTTAAAGCGAAATATCTCCACACATTTCATATAAATATATAAACTATATAAATATATAAATTAATATTTACATATTTTTAACTGTTTGATTTAAATAAAAATCCTCTGGCCCCTTGACCTCTCTCCCAGGTCAGTCTAGGAGAGTCTTTACTAGAGGCGGAGTCTGTGGAGGATCTGGAGACGCCCGTCAACTGTTTCAGGAAGCTGTTCGGTACACGTTTATCATTTACTTATTATTTTATTGTAAAGTATCTTTGTGCAAAATGTGAAAAACCTGAATTTGTCGTTTTCCTCTGTTTGTCAGTGTGTGACGTTCTGCCGCTGATCCTGAATAATCCAGAGATGTGTCTTCCTGTCAGTCTGCTCTATAAATACTTGCACAAAGCAGCAGAGTTTTACATCTGTTACGTCACACGGGAGCCGTCGGCGGATGGACAGATGCAGGGTGAGAGAGTCAATATATCTGTCTGCCTTTTTCATGTTGTTATTAATTCCTGCAGTCTTTACTATGGTGTTATCACGGTATTAACCTAAGCTGCGAAAGACAGAGCTTTAACAGGTATATGAAGTAAAAAATACATAGAATATTGCTTTATCTTGTATGTGTATATATATATATATATAGTTAAATAAAAATGTATGAAATAAAAATTATTTTACTAAATTATATTTATTAATAATATTTGAATGTAAATGCTATATATTATTTAATATATTTAAATGATATTTAAATGTAATGTCTTCTAAATTTGATGAAGTTTAATAATAACTTTAAATAAAAATAATTTAAATAATAATAATAATAAAGTTAAATTAAAATGTATAAAAATATATATTTTACAAAATTGTAATTAAACAATATTTAGATATAAATACTATTTAATATACTTAAATAATATTTAAATTTAAATATTATTTAATAATAAAATAAAGTGTAAATGATAAATAATTTAAATTAATAATAATAATATTAATAATAATAATAATAATAAAGTTAAATAAAATATATAAAATAATATTTAACAAAATTATAATTTAATAAATGTAATAATATTTAAATGCAAATACTATTTAATATTTTTAATAATATTTCCATTGAATTATATTTATTAATAAAAATGAAAGTTTAATAATGTAAAAGTGTAAATGATAAATAATTTACGTTAATAATAATAATTAATAAAATAAAAAATATATTTTACAAATTATAATTTAATAAACGTAGAAATATTTTAATTAAAATACTACTTAATATTATATTTAAACTATCTTTTAAATGTAATAATATTTAATAATAAAAATAGTTTAATAATAATAATAAAAATAATAAATAATTTAAATTAATATTAATAATAATTATAGCAATAATAAAGTTAAATTAAAATGTATAAAAATATATATTTTACAAAATTATAACTAAGCAATATTTGGATATAAATGCTATTTAATATATTTAAATACTATTTAAATTTAATTATATTCAATAATAAAATAGTTTAAATGATAAATAATTTAAATTAATAATAGTAATAATAATAATAATAATAATAAAGTTAAATAAAAATATATTTTACAAATTATAATTTAATACATGTAGAAATGTTTAAATTAAAAAACAAATTTATATAATATTTAAACAATCTTTGAATGTATTAATATTTAATAATAAAAAATAAAAAGTTTAATAATTATTAGAGAAAGTTTTAAATAATAAATAATTGTTTACTGTATTTTGAAATGCCTACAAATTATTATTAGGCATGTTCATCATCACAATATACTGAATTATTGAGTATCAGCATATGTCTGCCGTCTTTCTGTATGTCTGTATAAAAATCTTGTCTGTAATTGGTCAGGCTCACAGGAAGTGGGCGGTCTGAAGTCTCCAGGACGTGGGAGGGGCCAACGTTCTGTGATTGACGGGCTGTCAGAGAAGGCGTCCGTGGTGACGGAGCCGTGGGATAGGCTGCTGGAGATGGTGGGCGTGGTCGGCTCGCTCTGTGATTGGCAGGGAGAGAAAGGAAGCCGGTGAGGAGAATTATGCTGGAATGATGTCATAAGGAATGATGCGTCTGAGCAGCTCTCACTCACTGTGTGTGGTGTATGCATGCTTTGTGTAGGGTGTGTGTGTGTTGTGTTTGTCTGTATGTATACTTGTATGTGTGTGTTATGTATGTTTGTATGTATGTATATTTATATATGTGTGTGTGTGTGTTTTAGGTCGTACGCAGAGCTCCTGCAGCGTGTGTCAGATCTCTGCAGGTTTTTGTCAGCTGCAGACACAGACGGTTTCTCTCGCTGCTGCAGTCAGATCGTCAGCTGCTGCACGCTGGTGCTGTTTCACTGCGCCTTCCACTACGTCTCCGCAGTACAGCCCTCACTGTTCCAGGGTCAGTTTCCGTGTGTGTGGCATCTCTGCCATACATATATATTTAAGGGAGCTCAAATTAATATCTACACTCACCGGCCACTTTATTAGGTACACCTCACTAGGACCCCTTTTGCCTTCAGAGCTGCCTTAATCTTTGATGTTGTAGATTCAGCAAGCTACTGGAAATATTCCTCAGAGGTTTTGCTCCATGTTGACATGATAGCATCACACAGTTGCTGCAGATTTGTCGGCTGCACATCCATGATGCCAATCTCCCGTTCCACCACATCCCAAAGCTGCTCTATTGGATTGAGCTCTGGTGACTGTGTAGGCCATTTGAGTACAGTGAACTCATCGTCATGTTCACCAGTCTGAGATGATTGAGCTTTATGACATGCTGCGTTATCCTGCTGGAAGTAGCCATCAGAAGATGGAGACACTGTGCTCATAAAGGGATGGACATGGTCAGCAGCAATAGGTTAGGTGTACCTAATAAAGTGGCCGGTATGTTTAATATCTATTTAATATCTATAATATATATGTATATCTAACTGTAAATAAACATTTCGTCAAATGTATGTATGCATGCATGTGTGTATTTATTTAAGCATATATATATATATATATATATATGTAAACGTGTGTGTAATATCAGGTCACTCGTCTCTGAGTTCGGGTCCGTGGGTTCTGCTGGAGGATCTGTCCAGTGTTTACGCTGACGTTGAAGTGGAGAGAAAACACACACACAAGAAACGCAAGCTGGCTGACGGACGAGAGAAGACCATGGTGGGTCTCAAAGGGCCAATCATGACAGCCCGTTCACACCAACACATCAACTATGAAGAGAACGATGAAGAAAGAGCTGTTAAAATGATTGAGAGTGTTAAAGAACAGCGCAGTTTACAGTGTGTGTATGCTTGTGTGTATGCTTGCATGTGTGTGCGTGCAGAGCTCTGATGATGAGGACGTGTTGGCCAAAGGCAGAGGGCGGCACATTGTGGTCAGCAAGTCGGAGATGTTGAACTGGGCAGAGACGTTGGATCACTTCCGCACGGCCAGAGAGAGCTGGGATCTGCTGCACTCACACCCGAGCCTGGAGGCCGGTCAGTCTGCAGTGCACACACCAGGGCTGCGTCCTAAATCACACACCCTACACCCTCAGTCACTATTACCTACACTAGCCCACTAATATACTCTACCTAAACAGACAGCCACCTAAAAATGAAACTTCTGTCATCAAATTCACCTGTTTGAGTTTCTCTCTGCTGTTGAACACAAAAGAAGATACTTAGAAAAATGTTAGAAACCTGTAACCATTGACTTGTATTGTATCTGTTTAGTGCTGTATCTCTTCCAGACTTTGCCATATGTTGTTTAGAAAGTTGAGGTACGCTGTGGTCAGATGCATGCAAACTCTCGCAGTGCATTATGGGTATTTTATAGCCATTGAGTGCACATGGGTTGTTCACTCATTTTTGCAGTGCATTGTGGGATTGATTGAGTGCACTTAAGAGCATGCACTATGGTCTCAGACACCATTAGAAAAGGTTGATCCCTTAATAGTGCACTATTTAAGGGTATAGGGGCTGATTTTCAGATAGAGACCAGGACACACACATGCGCACACACTGATTGTGATTATTAAACTGTTGTTGGTTTATTCCAGAGTTTGCGAAGATCTGCTCAGCGTGGAAAACTGAGATGTGGCTGTGGTTTCGCATTTTCCTCACAGATATGATCATCTATCAGGTATGAATGACTCGTCGGTTCATTAACTGATTGACTAATAACCGAATGTTTTTGTAATGTTCTTGTAACGTTGATAGGAAACGTATTCTTAGAAAATGAATGTAGTGTGGATGAAATAACGTTTTGAGAGCTTTCATATAACTATGCTAATGCTTATGCTAATTATAATGCTTCTTACTCAGGGCTGCTGATTATGCTAATGAGGGAGAGATGGGCACTAGTGGGCGGGGCTTTCCCCCTCTGATGACACGTACAAAGGGAGAATGTCAATCACAGTGCTTCATCATCAAGTCTGATTAGAACAAACACAATTAATACATGTTGAGCATTAGAGGCTGGAGATTGGACTGCTGACACACAACTGGGGTTGAAAAATGCCTGTGGTTTCAGTTTCTGTTGTGGATGATAAACCCAATTCACTTTGTTTTCAGTATGAAGACGTCTCACTGCTGGCATGGCTTTAAATAATACAAACTAACTGTCTGTGTGTGTTTTTGTCTGTGTGTTTTCCAGGGTCAGTACCGTAAGGCTCTATCCAGTCTGGCTCTGATGTCATCACTGCAGCTCCAGCAGAACCAAAACCAGAACCAGAACTCCCTGCAGACCGGCTCCAGCTCCAGCCTGGAGAACCACAGAGCCGTCATCCAGCAGGCCTCGTGTCACTACGCTCTGGGGGAGTACAGGGTAACACACACACGCTCACACATGCTCACCTTCACACATGCACGCTCACCTTTCTATACACACACACACACATTCAAACACACACAAGTACACACACTCACAATAACACATACACAATCACATCGATAAACACAAACAAACACACACACAAACAAATACAATATCACCAACAAATGCTCAAACACACACACATGAACAGGCAGATAGACACCCATGCACACACACACACACACACACAGCTGACGGTGTTGTGTTCTTTAGCTGGCGTGTGAGAAGCTCCTAGAGGCCGTCGGGGGTTTGTTACCGCAGAATCAGGAGTTTGTGAAGAACAGCGACGAGCAGCGCAAACCCCGCAGCAAGACCAGGAGAGGTGACAATACTGTCATAATAATACTATTGTGCTTATATTAACAAGATCTGGCAACACAGAATTGCAGAGGCTGCAGCAGTTAGAGCTCAAGGGCATGAATTTAGGTGCTTCATCAAAAATACACCTTTGTTGTAAATAAATGCCCTCTAGTGGACAAAATAACATACTGTGCCTGTAACGCTGCCAATATTTGTATTAAAAACAAGTCAAATGACGTGTATAATAGCTACATCTGGCAACACATAAGAACAAGCTGCAGCAGCGCCCTCTAGAGCTCAGGGTCATGAATGTAAATGCATCATGAACATACGCCTTTGTTGTGATTAAACGCCCTCTAGCAGACAAAATGACATACCGTTCCTTTAATAATGTCTGTTCAAGTATTAAAAACATGTCGAAATACATAATATTTAAAATAACTAGATCTGGCAACACAGCTGACAGCTCCATCTAGATCTCAGAGACATGAATTTAAGTGCATCGTCAAAATACGTCTTTGTTTGTTGTGAATACACTCCCTCTAGTGGACAAAATGACGCACTGTTCCTTTAATGCTGTCAGTATTTGTATTAAAAACAAGTCAAATGATGCGTATAATAGCTACATCTGGCAACACAGAAGAACAGGCTGCAGCAGCGCCCTCTAGAGCTCAGGGAAAGGAATGTAGATGCATCATGAAAATACGCATTTGTTGTGATTACATGCCCTCTAGTGGACAAAATTACATACCGTTCCTTTAATGTCAGTTCAAGTATTAAAAACTGACAACACAGCTGACAGCTCCTTCTAAATCTCAGAGGCATGAACCTAAGTGCATCGTCAAAATACACCTTTGTTTGTTGCGGTTAAATGCCCTCTAGTGGACAAAATGACGCACTGTTCCTTTAATGCTGTCAGTATTAGTATTAAAAACAAGTCAAATGACGTGTATAATAGCTACATCTGGCAACACAGAAGAACAGGCTGCAGCAGCGCCCTCTAGAGCTCAGGGTCATGAATGTAAATGCATCATGAACATACGCCTTTGTTTGTTGTGAATAAATGCCCTCTAGTAGACAAAATGGCATACCGTTCCTTTAACAAGTTCAAGTATTAAAAACATGTCGAAATACATAATATTTAAAATAACTAGATCTGGCAACACAGCTGACAGCTCCATCTAGATCTCAGAGACATAAATTTAAGTGCATGGTCAAAATACGCCTTTGTTTGTTGTGAATATACACCCTCTAGTGGACAAAATGACAAACTGTTCCTTTAATGCTGTCAGTATTAGTATTAAAAACAAGTCAAATGACGTGTATAATAGCTACATCTGGCAACACAGAAGAACAGGCTGCAGCAGCGCCCTCTAGAGCTCAGGGTCATGAATGTAAAGGCATCATGAAAATACGCCTTTGTTGTGATTAAACGCCCTCTAGCAGACAAAATGACATACTGTTCCTTTAATAATGTCAGTTCAAGTATTAAAAACATGTCGAAATACATAATGCTTAAAATAACTAGATCTGGCAACACAGCTGACAACTCCTTCTAGATCTCAGAGACATGAATTTAAGTGCATCTTCAAAATACGCCTTTGTTTGTTGTGAATACACTCCCTCTAGTGGACAAAATGACGCACTATTCCTTTAATGCTGTCAGTATTAGTATTAAAAACAAGTCAAATGACGTGTATAATAGCTACATCTGGCAACACAGAAGAACAGGCTGCAGCAGCGCCCTCTAGAGCTCAGGGACAGGAATGTAGATGCATCATGAAAATATGCCTTTGTTGTGATTACATGCCCTCTAGTGGACAAAATTACATACTGTTCCTTTAATGTCAGTTCAAGTATTAAAAACTGACAACACAGCTGACAGCTCCTTCTAGATCTCAGAGGCATGAACCGAAGTGCATCGTCAAAATACGCCTTTGTTTGTTGCGGTTAAATGCCCTCTAGTGGACAAAATGACGCACTGTTCCTTTAATGCTGTCAGTATTAGTATTAAAAACAAGTCAAATGAAGTGCATAATAGCTACATCTGGCAACACAGAAGAACAGGCTGCAGCAGCGCCCACTAGAGCTCAGGGTCATGAATGTAAATGCATCATGAACATACACCTTTGTTTGTTGTGAATAAATGCCCTCTAGTAGACAAAATGGCATACCGTTCCTTTTATAATGTCAGTTCAACTATTAAAAACATGTCAAAATACATAATGCTTAAAATAACTAGATCTGGCAACACAGCTGACAGCTCCATCTAGATCTCAGAGACATGAATTTAAGTGCATGGTCAAAATACGCCTTTGTTTGTTGTGAATATACACCCTCTAGTGGACAAAAGGACAAACTGTTCCTTTAATGCTGTCAGTATTAGTATTAAAAACAAGTCAAATGACGTGTATAATAGCTACATCTGGCAACACAGAAGAACAGGCTGCAGCAGCGCCCTCTAGAGCTCAGGGTCATGAATGTAAATGCATCATGAAAATACGCCTTTGTTTGTTGTGAATAAATGCCCTCTAGCGGACAAAATGACGCACTGTTCCTTTAATGCTGTCAGTATTAGTATTAAAAACAAGTCAAATGACGTGTATAATAGCTACATCTGGCAACACAGAAGAACAGGCTGCAGCAGCGCCCTCTAGAGCTCAGGGTCATGAATGTAAATGCATCATGAAAATACGCCTTTGTTGTGATTAAACGCCCTCTAGCGGACAAAATTACATACTGTTCCTTTAATATTGTCTGTTCAAGTATTAAAAACATGTCGAAATACATAATATTTAAAATAACTAGATCTGGCAACACAGCTGACAGCTCCTTCTAGATCTCAGAGACATGAATTTAAGTGCATCGTCAAAATACGCCTTTGTTTGTTGTGAATACACTCCCTCTAGTGGACAAAATGACGCACTGTTCCTTTAATGCTGTCAGTATTAGTATTAAAAACAAGTCAAATGACACGTATAATAGCTACATCTGGCAACACAGAAGAACAGGCTGCAGCAGCGCCCTCTAGAGCTCAGGGTCATGAATGTAAATGCATCATGAACATACGCCTTTGTTTGTTGTGAATAAATGCCCTCTAGTAGACAAAATGGCATACCGTTCCTTTAATAATGTCAGTTCAAGTATTAAAAACATGTCGAAATACATAATATTTAAAATAACTAGATCTGGCAACACAGCTGACAACTCCATCTAGATCTCAGAGACATGAACCGAAGTGGATCATCAAATTACGCCTTTGTTTGTTGTGAATACACTCCCTCTAGTGGATAAAGTGACATACTGCGCCTCCTTTAATATTCATTAGCTATTGGTTATTTACCTTAACAGGAATATGGTAATCACTCTTTCTCTCTCTCTCCATTGTTTCTAGGTAATGACCTGAGGCTCGTCCCCTGCACCAGTAAATCCATCCTCCCCTTCTGTCTTCAGCTCATGCTGGCCTGTTTTAAAGTAACGTTTCACCTCACAGATGTGTTCATTTGACCTCTCTAACTCCAGGATGGGTTCATAATGCGTGTGTTTCTCTCCAAGCTGAGGGCTTTCACGGACAACAGGGACGACCTGGCTCTTGGTCATGTGATCGTGCTGCTGCAGTTTGATTGGCCGCAGGGTGAAAGTCTCTTCTTGAAGGCGGTGGATAAGATCTGTCAGCAGGGCAGCTTCCAGTACGAGAACTTCTTCAACTACGTCACCAGTATCCTTCAAATCTGTGTCGGAAAACCACCATTTTCCTCACATGACTATTGATGAAACACTTTGATTGACGTTCTCGGGGGAAAGCCCCGCCCACTAGTGCCTATCTCACCATCTCATTAGCATATACAGCAGCCCTGAGTGAGAAGCAGCCGTCTGTCCATTCGCCATTAGAGTGTTTGAGTTCCTGAAGACAATGTCAGCATAGACTAAGAGGATTATAGATGTGGAGTTCTAGATTGATATAGATTAATATAGTATAGATACATTGTACCAGATGTGCCTCCTGATGTGTTTATTTGTAATTAATAAATAATCATGCAAAGGTTAGCTCTTAACCCGATTCCTCCACCAGACATCGACATGCTGGAAGAGTTTGCTTACCTGCGCACCACTGAAGGGGGGCGTGTCCAGCTTGAGCTACTACCCAATCAAGGGATGCTGATCAAGTAAGTCCCGCCCCCATCAGCAGCCTGTGGAGAAGTGATCATCTACGGTCTCTCCCTCCTTTCCTCCTTTCTTTCTCTCCTTTTCTTTTGGACGCGACGCAGAAGAGCTGCGGTTTCAGATGAGTGACTATAAGCTGGTTTTGCTTGATGCATTTTCCTTACCCTGCTTTCTGATTGGCTCATTAGTGCTCCGGACGCTTCTGAAAGCTCTCAGCTGGCGTTTCTGAAGGGTTTTATCATGGGCTGATATTGTGTCGTTTATTTTAAAAGGAAGCACTCTGTAATGTTGAATCAAGTGCGTCTCTTTAAAAATACTCTGCTAGCTTATTATAATTGACCTACTAATATAATTATTGCATAAATCTATTGGGTGTAACGGATCATGGTTGACCTGTGGATCACAACAATGTTCGGAACCCATGTGACCCACTAATTAATACATTGTTTTACTGATGGAGTAATCCTAAATTTGTAGCAATCGCAGAGAGATCGCTTCTCATGCCATTTAAATCACGTGTATGGAAACATTCAGGCTTTCCTGTAAAATATAATGATGCTGGAAGAAGTTGTGGTGAGTTTCTCAGGTTATTAAAGGTGTTTTCTGTCACTACTTGTTTAGCCTGCATTAACGCATTCAGTGGAAGCTGCAGGATTAACCATTGAAAGATCGGGATCTCAACACCCACGCAACATCAATTATAAATGATGGTGGTTCGCATATGTTTATTAATCCTCCAATTGTGACATTCAAATCTCAAAACGCAAAAATCAAGAAAGAGATAGAGTCTTTAATGTTTTGAGTTAGGGATGAAGTTACAAACAGTCAATGAACACAGAAGTACTGGGAGAACAGCTTATAGTTTAGATAATCCGCTGACATTTATTGTAAAGTTTAACATCACCGTCATGTGCATTTAACTTCATTTAAATAAATTTTTAATTTAACTTAATTTAATGTAACATTTTACTTTATTTAAATCACCATCTGATGTATTTAATGATGCTTAAGAAGGAAGTTGTAGGCAGCAATTACATTATTAAACCAATAGGTGGCGACAAACAGCCATCAAAAATACGCCACTGAATAATCCTTCAAATATGATCATCTAGCAATGAAACGTGAAGATTTATGAGTGAATAACTGAATCATTTATTGACGATGAGGCTAAAATATATGTGTTATAATAAAAAAAAAATATATATATATATAAAATATATATGTAGAAATGATAAATGTCAGATTTCTACATTTAGTGTTGTCAGCAACAGTAGTAACAGGGAATTTTTCACAGCACTGAACAAACATTTTAGTTTGTTTTTATTCAGCTGATTATTTCTGTATTTTATTTGTAATCAAATTAAAGCTTCTCAGTTCTGTTTGTTAAAACCAAGAGTATCTTGCAGGTCGGTGCCAATGGCATAGTGGAAAGTGCACCGACACATGCACTTCGGTGTTCACGGCGACCCGAGTTCGATTCCCGCCTCGAGGTCCTATGCCGATCCTTCCCTTCTCTCTGCTCCCCACACTGTCCTGTCAATTCTCTATACTGTCCTGTCAAATAAAAGGTGAAAACCCCTAAAAAATAATTATAAAAAAAGTGTGTTGCAGTGCTGTTTCTGTAATAAATGGGAAGCAAATTACATTTCCTGTTTTCAGCAACAGGGAATTTTCACAGCACTGAATATTTAAGTTTGTTTTTATTCAGCTGATTATTTCTTCATTTTTTTTGTAATTAAATTACAGGCTCTCAGTTCTGTTTGTTAAAACCAAAAGTGTCTTGCAGAGCTGCTTCTGTAATAAATGGAAAGCAAATTACATTTGTCCCCCCACACCTCCCCCTTTTGGCTGATCCGAAAAATGGTACGATCTGTGACTAAAGAACACTAAAGGTCCGTTACACCTATATAAATATAGTATAAAAGCAATAACTGATGCTGTAACAGTGCAGTAACACCATCTACTTCTCCATACGATTCCTTTATTCTGGGAATTTGTTGTAGTTTTTTTAATATACAACCCAAAATAACGAAAACTAAATGTTGTAGGGGTGTTTATATTTATTATACAGCTAACATTCAGTACAATATTTTCTGAAGATTTTTATCTTCAGAATCGTGAACTAATAGTAAAAGTATAAACATAAATGTTTAGTTATATAATTAGTGTCAGGGTTAGTTTCTGATTTAGCATCATTCTTTGATTATTTATTTATTATTTATTTATTAGTTGTGTATACTTTTATATTCTTCTTCTTTGCTCTTGTTTTTATTGTACAGTGTCCTTGAGTTGCCAGAAAGACGGCTTTAAATAAAATATATTATTATTATTATTAAGACGAGACGCAGAGCAGCATTCCAATGAAATGATGACCTCATAATGTTGACTGACCAATCACAATCCGGTTCTTCATAGTGCTGCAGTAGTAAACCAGTTGCTCGGGTGTTTTTGGGAGTAAATGGTAAAGATATTCAATATAAAGTCGTTTTTTTGGGAGTAAGTCCTGCTGACGGAGCGAGGATGAGTTCAGCTCTGTCACTGGAGCTGCTGATTGAATGGTGTTTGCTGTCTGTAGGAACCCTAGCCCCGCCCTGGGGGTGGAGCTAAACACCCTGCTGCTGCCAGGGGCTCAGAAGGCTGACAGGTACCCCGCCCCCATCATTGACACCCTGCCCCCAATCCTCCCAGCCTGCTCATGCGTTTACATTCTCCTCCTCTTATTTCCATCACCGCGTTTTCATTCCGTTCCAGCATTTTCATTTTGCAAGACTGTGTTGGTGTTGTCACTCGGCTCCGTTTACGTTGTGTTTTACTCAAACTGATGCAAATGAAGAATGTTTATTGTTTGTGTTTGTTTATTTCAATTGCAGAGTTTTACATTTATGAGTGAGTGAACCTCACAGAAAATATCAAGAAGGGTCTGGCTCATCTAAATCCCACAACTGAAACAAAATGGTGCATAAATTAATGCAGATTTTGCTTAAAGTAAATTTAACTCGAGAGGCAAATCTATACATGAAAGCAGAATTATTTTGTGAATATTATTGAATCTGGTTTTAATGTTAGAAAGTAAAATGTGTTATAGATGTATTCCAAAACAAGTCTTATTTTTATACAGCAGAATATAAATTTATTTAAAATTTGGCAAAAATAATTTCTTTTGCATATTTGAGGAAGAAGTGCATAGTTTCATGTCTTGTTAACATTTGCAAGATCAGTTGTGGAAATATAAGAGCAATATCACACGAGTAGCCGTGTGATGTGGCTGTATATCGGTACTGGAGGGAGGCGTGCGTTGGCTGATGGCCTTAGAACCACTTATGCTGTGTTCACACGAGACGCGGAACGCGCGTATAAATCGCGCTATTCGCGCGTAAATAGCCACGTGAACATTTGAGTTTACTCGCTTCATTCGCGCGTCAAATCCGCTTCATTCGCTTGTCAAATTCACTTCAGAACAGACACGGGTTCGCGTGATGGGCAGGGCTTCTGTCTGCCTGGTGACTGTAGCTTCGTTGCTAAATGGCTAACATGGATTTTATGAAGAAAGTAACAGTGTTTATGTGCATTATGAAGGCTGATAAACAGCATCGATATGTTTAGCACCGTGTCTGAGTCCACTACATCCTTTCAGAGGTGCATCCAGCTCTGTGAGCTCATAAACTCCTCCAGAAACTGAACCTGGATGACGGAGGCTTTCAGCGGTGCTTCTGACTGAGCCCAGCCCAGTTTGATGAACTGACAGGTTCTACGTCACAATCATGCCCCCACAAGAGCAAGCTCCTGATTGGTTAACGCGGCGCGAATGTCCGCTGAAGTTCAGATTTTCAAATTCGAGTGATTCGCGCAAAACGCGCATAACGCTTAATTCGCGCCGCGCCATTCAAACTGCGCCATTTGCGCAATTCGCGTCATTCGCACCGCAGGATGTCTATTTACGCGTTTGCATTGACTTAACATGTAAATCACTCGCGCTTGACGCGCGTTCCGCATCTGGTGTGAACGCAGCATAAGTGTCCAGCCAGTGCCGATATACAGCCATATTGCACTGCTGCTCATGTAATAATATCAAGCACAGAGAGTCTAAAAAACCCTTTTGTAAGAGGAACTACTTTCCTCCGCTGTTCATTCACATCTGCAGCTGACATCAGAACAGCAGAAGCCTCTGCTCACTCACAAACATCACTGTAGAGCTAGTGTTGTATGATTCTCTAGCGTAATGTCTAAAGTGATGACAGAACAGCTGATTTTGCTCACATTGTAAGATTATAAAGCTGAACAGCATGAAATGCCATCAGTCTACAGAGATTTCCTAGCATTTCTCTGTTGCAATCTTAAGATCACAATAATTAACCATGAAAAACCCAGAGAAAAGCAAACACTTGCAGATTCTGTGGTATAAATGCAGCACTACAACATACAGTAGAAGAGAGATCGACTTAGAATGTCACTTACCTGATTTATAATGATTTGTCCAGCTGCTGTTTTTCTTCCTCAAAGGACCTAATATGCAGACTTTGTCGCCATCTTGTGGCGAAACGTCAACCGACACTGCTCAGATGGCGGCCGATGCACTAAATCCGATGCTTCGTTATTAGAAATATTTAAAATAGGCACTATCCTTATTAATAAACTGCATGGTTGCAATCTAAACAACTGCATTCCCACCTGAAAAAGCCTCAAAAGTACATGACGTTGTCCAACAGCTGCAGAATGTGTCAACCTGTAGAGTGTCCTCTGCTTGTGGCTGTATGTGGGCGGAGTAATACACAGGGGTGAAGAGGCTGGGCGAGTGCTGTTACTGGCAGAATATCACACGGCTATCAGCCAATCAGATTCAAGAACCGGACAGAACTGCTGTATAAATAAAATTAAACAGATTTTTGTACATTATAGGATTGAATGTCCCACAGTCCAAACACATGCGCTATAGGGGAATTGATCAACTAAATTGGCCGTAGTGTATGACTGTGTGTGTTTGAATGAGAGTGTGTTTCCCAGTGATGGGTTGCAGCTGGAAGGGCATCCGCTGTGTAAAACATATGCTGGAATTGTTGGCGGTTCATTCCGCTGTGGAGACCCCTGAAAGAGAGACTAAGCCCAAGGAATATGAATAAATGAATGAAAAAATGCTTAGTGTTGTTAAAGCAGAATTGATGTCTGAAATATTTTAATGCAAAAAATAAATAAACAAAACAAAAGCGTAATTTTCTTTATAATGCAAAATCTGTATTTTATATTCAATTTGGCATATAAAATGAGCCAGACTTTCTTTGTGAGGTTCACCACATGTGTTTTATTTTACAGTAATCATGTGTGTGTGTTTGTGTTTGTGTTTGTGCGTGTGTGTGTGTGTGTGTGTGTGTGTGTGTGTGTGAGAGAAACTGCTGTTGTGAAAGGGTGTATTTCTCGTATGAACTGAAGTGTTTCTGTCCTCTTAGTATTATTATCCGCTCAGTTGTCTCACTGTCTGCGTGTGTCTGTTTTTGCAGGCATCACACTGTGACCCGAGGAATCACTAAAGGTGTGAAGGAGGATTTCCGGCTGGCGATGGAGCGTCAGGTGTCCCGCTGCGGAGAAAACCTGCTCATGGTTCTGCACCGCTTCTGCATTAATGAGAAGATCATCCTCATCCAGTCTTTACCCTGAGTAACCTCATAAGCGTGTGTGTGTGTGTGTGTGTGTGTGTGTGTGTGTGTGTGTGTGTGTGTGTGTCAGATCGGCTTCACTTAAGACATTACTGACTCCATGAACCAAAACGTGAGGTAGGATTTCATGTGGGTGAAAATTAGCAGACATTTCCTTTTATTCTCTGCTTGTACGATGCAGATTACAGCATTTTCTCTTTGTACCATTGTAAAATATGTCATGAACCAGACAGTTTTTGTGTAAAATAATAATGTTTTGTTGGCAGCTCGTGATAAATAAAACTGTGTTTTTGTAAGTTTGCGTGTTTTGTTTGTATGAACGCTTTCCTCTGGTCTGTTTCAGGACATATACAGTCAGAATTATTCGCCCTCCTGTGAATTTCTTTACTGAAATATTTCCCAAACGACGTTGAACAGATTCAGGAAATGTTCACAGTATTTCCTCTAATATTTGCTCTTCTGGAGAAAGTCTGATTTGTTTTATTTTGGCTAGAATACAATCAGTTTTTAATTGTTTTAAAGCCATTTTAAGGTCAATATTAGTTTAGGAAAAATATTAAATACAAATGATTAAAAATAGCAAAAATCAAGAGAAACATACAATATTTAAAATTTTGTTAGCTTTGTAGCTTGGACTTTTATTTGCAATATTTTAATTTTAATAATTTATTTGTGTTATCTTTCCATTTCTAAGCATGTTCTTTGACTAAAATATTAGTGTAATAAAAATATCTGTTTAATAAATCAGTTTTATTTAAATACATAAAAATACACTGACTATATATATATATATACAGTTGAAGTCAGAATTATTAGCCCTCTTCAATTTTTTTTTCTTCTTTTTTAAATAATTTCCAAATGATGTTGAACAGAGCAAGGAAATTTTCACAGTATGTCTGATAATATTTTTTCTTTAGAGAAAAGTATTGTTTGTTTAATTTTGGCTAGAATAAAAGGAGTTTTTAATTTTTTAAACACCGTTTTAGGGACAAAATTATTAGCACCTTTGAGCTATATTTTTTCTCGATTGTCTACAGAACAAACCATTGTTATACAATAACTTGCCTAATTACCCTAACCTGCCTAGTTACCCTAATTAACCCAGTTAAGCCTTTAAATGTCACTTTAAGCTGTATAGAACTGTCTTGAAAAATATTTGAAAAATTATTTTCAGTCATCATGACAAAGATAAAATAAATCAGTTATTAGAAATGAGTTAATAAAACCATTATGTTTTGAAATGTGTTGAAAAAATCTTCTCTCCGTTTAACAGAAAATTGCGAAAAAAGAAACAAGCGGTCTAATAATTCAGGAGGGCTTATAATTATGACTTCAACTGTATATACTGTATACACATATACATACAGGATGGGCCATTTACTGTATATGGATACACCGTAATAAACCTTTTGGGAATAGTGTGCTTGGTTTTAACGTAACTTCATTTTTTCATGAGTTATTTACATGCCCCCTCACATATACTAATGTGCCACAAACAGGACATTAATATCACCAACCATTCCCATTTTATTAAGGTTTAAGGTGTATCCATATAAATGGCCCACCCTGTATATGTATATATATATATATATATATATATATATATATATATATATATATATATATATATATATATATATATATATATATATCGTCACCTTAGAATTATAAGGTTCTATCTGACATTTTAGTCAAAATTGAGTTATTGATATTTTCTTCTTAAATACAACTTGTTTACATTATTGGATGTTTTTTTTATAAGTTTATGAATTTTAATTTTAAAAGCAAATGTTACACACAAACTGTTTGCTTTGGAATGCAAAAACTTTGAAGCTCAATATCTCAAAATCATTCGGATCGCAGAGAGAAACTTATAATTCCAAGGTGAAATATAATATTTCTTGCTTATTTTTCTTCGTTGTTTTTATGTTGTTATTATTATTTTAGTGCATTAAATATTTTGTGCGTATTAAAATATTACATTGCATCCTCAAAAAAAAATTAATAGAAGTAATGTCGTCTACTACATTGAAAATTTTGACTTTCGTTTGTTATCTCTGTACAATAAGACTCTATTTGGTAATCACTTAATTAAATAAAGCCAGTGTAATCACATCTACAAAATCATTTATTAATCTCAGGTAATGCAATCAAATAAAATAAAAAGCCACTTCTTTAAATAAATATCTGTTTGGCAATTTGAATCTAAGGGGCTGTTCACACGACAATGATTTCAATCAAAAACAGGAGACATCAATATCATGTAAACAACCTAAATTAGGCATATGCACACATACTTTTCAGTCAGCCAGCCAAAGCTCTACTAGTGAACTGTCTTCTTTCCATTACAAAATCACCACGTTTAAGATCTGATTTCTTTAAAAACCTGTGATATTTTTTTTTTTACTGCTTGATTGATATACGAAACGATATAGTTGGTCTCAGACCGGGCAAGAAGCACTGCATTAACTTACATTTTAAAATAAATTACATATATTTTACCACGGTATTTTTAATGGAGTTTCTGCACTCGCCTGCTGCTACTGGCGGCGTCTTTCATCTCGTTTTACACTTGAACAAGTAAATGAATGCTCAAGCCTGTTTAACTGATTGTATTTTAATTACGTTACAACATCGATGCTGTAAAAGGAACCTTATGAAATTTTAAATAGTCATTTAAAAATTTTACCGGAAGCTTATCGTTAGCTGAAATACACTAGCTGTGCAGATAACCCATTAGCAAATCTCCCAATAGTATCTGGATGCAGCCTTTATGATGCAAGTTGAGATTGCATCCCTCAGTGATGCAATGTCAGACAGAATGCACTCAATGGAGTGAGTGACGTCACTGTGAGGGGTGGGGTTAGGTGAGCCTAATAAAAAGCATTGGATCCAGCTCATATTGCACTGCACCAGGTCTGCATCTCTCAAATCTCCTCTAATCACTCTTCTTCTCTGTCTGGCGTATTAGGAAGCTCAGCCTGTAGAGCCGCTCTTAGATTTGCCCAAAACAGTTTCTGCTTGGCTCCCTCTTGTGGCCACTCCAGGTAAGTGCGTCTGGACATCATGGTCTTGAGCTGGTAGTACTTTGAGGGAATGAGATACAGTGGCAGAGGCTCCAGAAGAATGAGAAGTATGCTGTCCATCCCTCGCGTTAGCTTCTGATGGTTGGCGAAGTAGAGTTCATAGTGGCACCATTCGCTCTGGACGAAATGAGACGACAGCACGAAAACACACCTTCTGCTCTGCTCGATGCATCGGAGGATGTTTTGCACGATGGTTTTTCCCGGGATGAAGTCCCGCTCGTGGTGACACATGCGCAACCCACAGTCGCCTTCAAGCTTGGGAAGAAATTGAGATTTGACCCATCCTGCGTTTTTCTGGCTGTATGATACAAAGGCATGGAAGCGCAACCTTTCCACGTCCTCCTTTTTAAGCTGCGAGGTTATAGAGTAATGCTTGGCGCGAGTCCACTTCCACATCATCCTGACGTACCACGGTATATCCAAACGATTGCACAGAAGGCTAACAGCAACAATCAAACTGATCGTCGGGATTAGAATCGTGATAGCCAGAATCCATGCATTGCAGGAGATCTCAGGAAGGTAGAAGTCTTCCAATGTGGAGTTGCTCCAGGATTCAGGGTAACTGCATCTGTATCCGTCTGGCCAATGTCTGAGAGTTGATCTAAAGGTTTTTATTCCCTGTGCATTGATCAGAGAGGCAAAATCACGCAACGCACAAGTGCAAATGAAAGGGTTGTGGCTCAAATCGAGATCTTGGAGATGTTGACAAGTCTTGAGGGATCCTGGTACAGGAGAATGGATGGAGTTGGATCTTATCAGGAGCTTCTGTAGGCTTGGGAATGATCGGCAGGTGGGAAGATCCAGCAAGCGGTTGAATGTTAAGTCTATGACTTGCAAGGTATCGAAAGTGTGGATGTCTGCAGGAACTGTGGACACTCGGTTGTGCCGAAGGTTTAGGACTTGCACAGAATCTGGCAAACACTTGAAGACGACTTCGTCGAATCCATTTCTAGACAAGTCTACATGAAGGACTCTGGGAGGCCAGAAACACCTGCCTTGATTCTCCGAATAGGTAAGTGTGTTCTGACTGAGGTCGATGTATTGGAGCGAGTCCATCAGGTTAATTCTTGAAGTCAGTGGACTTAGATGCTTTAGGTTGTTGCCCCTCAAAACCAGCCTTGTCAGGTTTACCAGCGTACCACATTCTGTCTCGGGATTAACCGAGAAGATTTTTTCTGTAAGGGCGCAATCAGACAAATCCAACTCCTGGATCTTGCTGATCGTCCCAGGACAGGTCATAAAGATTATAGGCGACTCGGTTAGACTTACTTTCCTCGCAGGTGTGTTTATGAAGAAGTCATACAGCATTTTTTGGTCAAAGATGAACGTGGTTACTGACGCTCTTTTTGTAGAGAATGACTCCAGTATGTGGGTTGAGGATTGATTAACACCATCCTTCATTTCTGTCAGGGTAAGATCTGTTAAGGAAAGCTCACGAATGGTGGACGATAGTATCGTGTTTACCGAACTTGTCAGAAATTCCCATGTGGTTTTCACATTGGAGATTTCCAATCGAACAGTGTGCATGAGTGCTCGACTGCGCATCTGCTGGACTACCTCCATCTTGCCGTCCACCTTAGTGAATTCAACCTCTTTAAAACGTGCAAAAACATCATTAGCGATAGCGATATCCACGTTAGTACTTGAAAGGGCGATGACTGCCTTTTCTGCGTGTACGTCATCTAAACTATTCCCCTCATACGTCAATAACCCGTCAGCATTGATGAAGAGTGTTCTCAAGGTGAGATTGGATATATGAGTAAAGTCTTGGATGCTGATTGATTTGGCGCTCAATCCCAACCACTGCAGGCGTTTTAGCATCGAGAACTCCTTTCCTAAAGCCATGGCTGAAAACCGATTGGATGACAGGTCTAAAAGCTCCAAACATCCCAAATGAAGCAGATACTGCTGTTCGGAGAGGTTCTGGAGTCCGTTGTGAGACAAATCCAACATCTCCAGAGCTGGAGTAGATGTGAATGTGTCTCTGTCGATGTTTTCCAGAATATTCCAGGACAGATTGAGGAATCGCAGACGTGGTGTTGTGTTGAAGTCTTTGCAGTTTAGTGACTGGATGTGGTTTAGCGACAGATCCAGGTCCTCGGTGGATGGTTTAAGGTCATCTGGGACCGAGGACAGATTCTGAGAGGAGTAATTGACTATGATCCTCTGAATGGCGGGAATGAGAGACGGATGGAAACATGTGAGATAAACAGACACTAACCACCAGCCTGAAGACGGCTTCATCTTTCTGAGGTAATCTGAGAGAGAAAGAAGCATATTTAGTCTCGTTTCCTGTTTTCAGTCAACCGCACTCTTCACAGTTTTCACTTTTACTCTGACCGTCTCTAGCATTAGTTTGCGTTAAGTATTTTAAAATTACTTTAAAGACATTCAAATATAGGCTTTTGGGAATTACAGCGTGTTTGCCAGTAAAAGTTTTTAAATAATATTAAAACTAGGATATTTGATTATTAGTTTCACCTTGTTTAGATTGTATTATCAAATAGATATATACCTTTTTGACAGACAGACAGAAAAACAGACAGACAGATAGACGGGTAGATAGATGGACGGATGGACGGACGGACTGACTAACAGACAGACAGACAGACAGACACACAGACAGACAGACAGACAGACAGAGATATATGCATAGAAAGACACGACGGACGGATGGACAGACAGATAGAAAGACAGACAGATATATAGACAGATAGACAGACAGAAAATAAGACGGACAGATATATAGACAGACGGATATATAGACAGATAGATGGTTGGATGGATGGATAGACAGATAGAAAGCTAGACAGACAGATATATAGACAGACAGAAAGACAGACAGACAGACAGATGGATATGTAGACAGACAGATATATAGATGGATAGGAGACATAGACAGACAAACGGACAGTTATATAGACAGACAGACAGAAAGACAGACACATATATAGACAGATAGCAAGACAGACGGACAGATATACAGACAGACAGATGAGACGGACAGATTTATAGACAGAAAGAAAGAATGACAGACAGACAGACAGAAAGAAAGATGGACAAATATATAGACAGGCAGACAGATGGATATATAGACAGACAGATATATAGATGGAAAGAAGACATAGACATACAGACAGACAGACAAATGGACAGATATATAGACAGACAGAAAGACAGACACATATAAAGACAGATATACAGACAGACAGACAGAAAGAAAGAAAGACAGACAGAAAGATGGATATATAGACAGAAAGATATATAGATGGATAGAAGACATAGACAGACAGACAGACAGACAAACGGACAGTTATATAGACAGACAGAAAGACAGACACATATATAGACAGATAGCAAGACAGACGGACAGATATACAGACAGACAGACGAGATGGACAGATGTATAGACAGAAAGAAAGAAAGACAGACAGACAGACAGAAAGAAAGATGGACAGATATATAGACAGGCAGACAGATGGATATATAGACAGAAAGATATATAGATGGATAGAAGACATAGACAGACAGACAGACATATAGACAGATAGAAAGAAAGACAGACACTTATATAGACAGACAGACAGAAAGATGGACAGGTATATAGACAAAAAGAAAGAAAGACAGACAGACAGAAATATGGACAGATATATAGACAGGCAGACAGACAGATGGATATATAGACAGAATAGACAGTGTTATTTCTCTCACCCGTCCGTCCCTCTGTCCTCTCTCTCTGCAGGTCAGATTATCTGTGTTGTGAAACTGTTGATCAGATTTAGATGCTGTTCCTGAGCTTCTGCTTTTCTGCTGTTTCACTTCTGCAAAACTCCAACATTTACCGACATTTACTGCGTTATTTACTCTGACAGAGAGAGAGAGAGACGGACGGAGCTTCACATGCACAGCTCTTAGTCAATGTAAGCTACATTGGCCGTAGTGTATGTGTGTGAATAAGGGTGTATTTCCAGGGATGAGTTGTAGTTGGAAGGGCATCCGCTGTGTAAAAAAATATGCTGGAATAGTTGGCGGTTCATTCCGCTGTGGCGACCTCAGATTAATAAAGAGATTAAGCCGAAAAGAAAACGAATGAATGAACGATGCTGAAATAGGCTGTTTAAAATAGACAACAACTTTATTTCCTGATTGTTGTGCTGTTTTTCATGAATATGCAGTACCGCTTTTGACCAGCAGAGGGTTTGTTTTCTGTGTAGTGTTCATCAGTTACACAAACACTGCTGTACAAGAGAGAACACACACACACACACACACACAGCATGTGATCTGACATCTTTATTAATGAAAATACAGTGCTTCTGGAGTGATGATGTTGTTGTGGGAAACCGTAGTATGAAGCTCTTTATTTACCTCAGATGCAGCATATGATGTTAAACATTCTCCAACATCCCGGAAAGCTGTTTCTAAGAGTGTGTGTTACTAAACAACCGTGATATTTGATTTGAGCTTTAGCACTTTTCTTAAATGCTATATAGTTTGGAGACTGCAGTGCATGTGTGCTCCATTTAAAAAAAAAAGTGTTTTCAAAAAAGCATATTTTTAAAGGACAATTTTGAAGATATTCAATTTTTATCTGACATTTTCATGCCAATTTAACACATAAAAAAATATATATATATGTGTTTTTAATAAATATTCATATTGTGGAATTTAATTTTGAGTAAAAAAACAAAAAAAAAAACAAAGTCAGTGCATGTGATATAATTAAAGGAAATTATTTAACAAATTAACACTTTTTCCATATATTTATTTTGCATATTTGAATAATTGTGCAGTTGATTATTACATTTCATATATTCTGGTCACATTTCACGCCAAATTACCCCAAAATTGCAAAGGAAATCAAGCCATTAATTAAATTTCTTATTAATATTATTTAGCAGTTAAGCACATTTTCATGAAAATGTGTTTTAATAAATCTTTAAATAATGAATTTTAATTTTGTGTAAAAACAATCTGTGTGATACTATTACTGTCACGCAATTAATGAACTAATTAACCCTTTGTCCTAATATTTATTTTCTATATTTCAATAATTGTGTAATTAATTAATATAATTCATATTTCATGAGGCATTATGGGATTTATAAGCTTCCAACAACCATAAATGTGACATTTAATTACAAATAATTAAATATTTCTGTTGAATATGTATTCTGGGTTCACATTTCACACCAAAATCCCCTTATAAAGGCTGAAAACTGAATTAAAGTATTAAATATATTTATTCATCCATTCATTTTCCTTCGGCTTAGTACCTTTATTTATCAGGAGTCTCCACAGCGGAATGAACTGCCAACTAATCCAGCATATATATTATACAAAGCGGATGCACATCCAGCTGCAACCCATCACTGGGAAACACCCATATCTCATTCATTACAGCCAAAAACCGGAGCACCCGGAGGTAACCCACACCAACACGGAGAGAACACTCCACACAGAAACACCAACTGACCCAGCCGGGACTCGAACCAGAGACCTTCTTCCTTCTAACCACTGCACCACAGTGTCGCCTATGATTACTGTTTCAGTATGTTTAATATTCAGCCGTTGCTGTATTTGCTATGAGACGTTCAGGTGCTGTTTTCCCCATTATTTGTTGAGTGTTTCCAGTGTTTCTGCAGCGCTGTGTTGTTTCCCACTGATCCCGGAGCTGTTTTCAGCTCTCCATCCTCTGATCTGATCTAATCAAGCCATCAGATGATGTGTCCAAACACAATCAGGCTGTTTTACCGCAGATTCACCTGCCGGGACTCATCCAGTTTGATGTGAAGTAAAGCTTTATTGTTGTTTGTTGCTCTGCTGAGAGGACATGACGTCAGACTCTGCTCGCTAACCTCTTTATGTGGATATTGAAGCTGTTCTTCAGGAGTGACGGATGCTCATGATCATGGAGAGACCCGCTGATGCTGTACTGCGCTCTGCATTTAAATGAACAGATTTCTGTTATGGGGCGGCGCGGTGGCTAGTTAGTAGTGCTGTCGCCTCACAGCAAGAAGATCACTGGTTTGAGTCCCGGCTGGGTCAGTTAGTGTTTCTGTGTGGAGTTTGCATGTTCTCCTTGTGTTGGTGTGGGTTTCCTCCGGGTGCTCCGGTTTCCCCCACTGTCCAAACACATGCACTATAGGGGAACTGATCAACTAAACTGGCCGTAGTGTATGAGTGTGTGTGTGTGTGTGTGTGTGTGTGTGTGCGCGTGTGTGTGTGTCTGTGTTTTTTTTGCCGTTGAGAGTGTGTGTTTGGAGTGTTTTTTTATGCAGGTGAGTGTGTGTGTGTGTGTGTATGTTTGTTTTATGAAGGTGAGAGAGTGTGTGTGTGTGTATGTGTCCAATGTGTTTTTATATAGGTGTGTGTGTGTGTGTGTGTGTGTGTTTTATACCGGTGAGAGTGTGTGTTTGTATGTGGGTTTTTATGCAGGTGAGTGTGTGTGCGTGTGTGAGTGTGTGTGAGTGTTTGTGTGTGTGTCTGTTTCTGTGTGTGTGTGTTCATGTGTGTGTTGTGTAAGTGTGTTACTTTCTGCGTGTATGGCTGTATGCATGTGTGAGTGTTTGTGTCTGTCAGTATGTTTGTATATGTGCGTGATGAGTGTGTACGTGAGTGTGTGTGTGAGTGTGTGTGTGTGTATTTGTGTATGTTTGTATGTCTGTGTATTTATGTGTGTGTCTGTCTGCATGTTTGTATGTATGAGTGTTTGTGTGTGTCTGTAAGTGTGCATGTTTCTGTGTGTGTGTGTGTGTGTGTGTGTGTGTGTGTGTGTGTATGTGTGTACGCATTTATTTATGCGCATATGTGTATTTATGTGTGGTTGTGTGTGTGTGTGTGTGTGTGTGTGTGTGTGTGTGTGTGTGGTTTCATCTATGTGTGTATATGTTTGTTTGTGTGTGTGTGTGTGTGTGTGTGTGTGTGTGTTTGTGTGTGTGTGTGTATGTCTGTGTTTGTGTGTGTGTGTGTGTGTGTGTGTGTGTGTGTGTGTGTGTGTGTGTGTGTGTGTGTGTGTGTGTGTGTGTGTGTGCTGTAAGTCATGAGCAGATCAGAGTTCATGTTAATCATTGACCTGCTCTCCGTCTTCCTGCTCTCTCAGATCTTCAGTGTGTTTCAGTCGGTCTGCACTCCTCTTCTCTTCTCCTCTTCTCCTCTTCCTCCAGACAGAGCGATCATCACTCCATCATGTGTTTCCTCTCCTCCGTCTCCTTCGCTCTTCTCCTGATCTCAGTGTGTCCATCAGAATCTCTTCTCCAGGGTGATTCCTCCAGTGTGTGGCTGCAGCGTCTGAACGGGACGCACCAGCAGACGGGTGTGTTCCCCCGCGGGTTCCTCTGGGGCATCGGCAGCTCTGCGTTCCCTACCGAGGGCTCTTGGGATGCAGACGGCAAGGGTGCATCAATATGGGACCACTTCACCCTTCAGTCTCCGGCAGGAGCGTCCAGCGACAGCTACATCCAGTGGGAGGAGGATCTGAAAGCAGTTCAGTTTCTAGGTGTTGATTTCTACTCCTTTTCTCTGTCGTGGCCACGTCTTTTCCCTGATCTGACTTTGAATCCTAATCCGGCTGGAGTTGAACACTACCGCAGGTTAATCAGGAAGCTGAAGGAGCTGAACGTGGAGCCTGTGGTGACTTTATTCCACTGGGATCTCCCGCAGGTCCTGCAGGAGCGTCTGGGAGGCTGGCTGAACTCCAGTATGGTGGGTGTGTTTGCGGATTACGCCGAGTTCTGCTTTCGGACGTTTGGGGATGAGGTTCGATTCTGGATCACGATGCACAACCCGTTTTTGGTGGCGGTGCAGGGGTACGGGACGGGCGCTCACGCTCCGGGGGTAAAAGGAGAGCGCGGTGACCCCTTCATCGCCGCACATAACCTCATCAGGGTGAGTCTGGGGTCGGGGGTCAGGGGTCAGGCTCATTTTTCAGATGGGGAATAATGCAGATTTTCAAGCTTTCTCTGATGGAAAACACTGAGCGGTGTGTTAGGGGGCGTTTAGGGATTGATGAGCCTCCAGCAGCTGTCAGATCAGTTACAAATGTTGAAGTATTTCTGTTGGATATATGTATATATGTCATTGGCATTTTCATAAGCCCACTGTAAAATGTTAATGCAAATTTTTATGTTACTTTAACAACATTTTTTTTTAATGTACAACAATTTTTTTTAATATATTTGTTATACAAAATTGAACGTAAGCGGCACGGTGGCTCAGCGGTCAGCACTGGTGCACGGGTGCTCCGGTTTCCCCCACAGTCCAAACACATGCGCTATAGGGGAACTGATTAACTATATTGGCCGTAGTGTGTGTGTGTTTGTGTGTGTTTGTGTGTGTTTGTGTCTGTGTGTGAGTGAATAAGTGTGTATGGGTGTTTCCCAGTACTGGGTTGCAGCTGATAGGGCATATGCTGGGATAGTGTTTGGAATAGTTGGCGGTTCATTCCGCTGTGGCGACCCCTGATAAATAAAGGAGTAAGCTGAAGGAAAATGAATGATCAATTGATGCAAGTCGAGTTGACTGTATAAACGTTTCTTTGATTCAACTAAAAGCAACTAAAGCACGGATTCCTTTACAGTGCAGATTTGAATTACACTTAAATGAAACATTTTTTTTTTCAAAATCTTTAGATTTTTAAAATATGTTAAATTTTTATGTCTCAATAGTGAATTTAACTTACAATTTGTTTTTAAAAAATGTCTTAAATACAAGTGGTTTTTACCAGATAAAGAACATTTCTTTCCACAGTATTTCCCCTTATATATACATATACACACACACACACACACACACACAAGTACACATACACACTCACACATACACACACACTCACGGCTATTTTCTTAGGTAGACCTATCCAACTGCATGTTAATGCAAATTTTTAATCAGCCAATCACATGGCGGCAGCTAACTGCGTTTAGGCATGTAGACATGATCAACACGATCTGCTGCAGTTCAAAGTGAGCATCAGAATGGGGAAGAAAGGGGATTTAAGAGACTTTGAACGTGGCAGGGTTGTTGCTGCCAGACGGGCTGCTCTGAGTATTTCAGAAACTGCTGATCTTCTGGGATCTTCATGCACAACCATCTCTAGGGTTTACAGAGAATGCTCCAACAAAGGGGAAATATCCACCTAAAACTTTTACTGAACATAACTAGTGTCCTACTGCAACATAAATAGTCTTTCATTGACCATAACTAGTCTCCTGCATGACATAACTAGTCTCTCAAATGACATAATTTGACTGCTATAGGACATTAAGTGTCTCTCATTGGACATAACTAGTCTTCTATATGACATAACTAGTCTCTAACAGGACATAACCTTACTCATAATAGACATAACTAGTCTCTTAATAGACGTAACTAGTCTCTCATGGCACATAACTAGTCTTGTTAGTTTCTAATAGGACATAACTAGTCTTCTATAGGAAATAAAGTCTATCTAGTCTTTAACAGGACATAACTAGTCTCATACAGGACATAAGTAGTCTGCTACAGGACATAACCAGTCTCTCACAGACATAACTAGTCTCCTACAAGACATAATTAGTATCTCACAGACATAACTAGTGTCCTGCATGACATAACTAGTCTGCCGCAGGACATATCTAGTTTCTTGTTGGACATAACTAGTCTCCTAATGGACATAACTAGTCTCTCACATTACATAACTAGTCTCTTACATTACATAACTAGTCTCTGACTTGTGTCTAACAGGACATAACTAGTCTCTCACTAGTCTTTCACATGAAATAACTAGTCTCTAAATAGTTTTATAGTGCATAACTAGTCTCCTACATGACATCACGAGTCTTACAGGACATAACTAGTCTCCTACAGTATGTAACTAGTATTTTACAGGACATAATCTGTCCCCTACAGGACACAACTATTATCCTACAGTACTTAACTAGTCTCCCACAGGACATAACTAGTTACTCACATGACATAACTAGCCTCTCTAGTTTCAAACAGAACATAACTAGTCTCTAACTACTCTTTCACAGTGCATTACTAGTCTCTGACAGGATATAATCGTCGCTGACTAGACTTTCAAAAGGACTAACTAGTCTCTAACTAGTTTTCTACAGGACATAACTAGTCTCACTATTTTCCTACAGGACATAACTAGTTACTCACATGACATAACTAGCCTCTCTAGTTTCGAACAGAACATAGCTAGTCTCAAACTTGTCTTTTCACAGTTTTCTCCAGCTACACTTTTTTTTTTGTACTTTTTTGTACAGTTGTCTCCAACAGGACAAACATAAGTCTTTCACTAGACTTTCAAATGACATAACTAGTCTCTAACTAGTCTCTTACATGACATAACTAGTCTCTCACTATTCACAGGACATAGCTAGTTTCTCACAGATCGTTACTAGTCTCCCACACACAAGACATAACTAGTCTTTTACTAGTCGTGTACAGGCCATAACTAGTCTCTCACTAGTCTCTCATACACATATATGACTTTTTCTCGCTCTCTGTCTCCTCAGGCTCATGCTAAGGCGTATCACGTCTATGATAAACTCTTCAGAGCTCGTCAGAATGGTAAAGTGTCCATCAGTCTGGGCTCTCACTGGGTGGAGCCTCTTCACGGCCAGGCCACGCCCACCAACCTGGAGCTCTGCCAGAAGTCCATGGAGGCCGTGATTGGCTGGTTCGCAGAGCCCATATATGGCAGTGGAGATTATCCAGAATCCCTGAAGTCTGCAAACCGAGGTGTGATCCCAGAGTTCAGTGCGGCGGAGCGGCTCTGGGTGAGGGGGAGCGCAGATTTCTTCTCGGTGGCGTTCGGGCCGGAGACGCTGCGTGTGAGCCGGGGACTGGCACGATTCGGCCAGACGGTGGCGCTGGAGCTCAGGAGTGTGCTGGTGTGGGTTCAGCAGGCGTATGGGGACCCATTGGTGCTGGTGGCCGAGAGCGGGTGGTTCTCTGATGCTTCTGTCGGGGTCGAGGACACACTCGCCATCTACCTCAACAAGAGATTCATCTTACAGGTCATGCAAGGTGTGTGTGTGTGTGGCATTGTGAGGACCAAATGTCCCCACAAGTTTATCAATACCAGTACATTTTTGACAAGAGTGTGTGTGTGTGTGTGTGTGTGTGTGTTTGTATGCGTGTGTGTGGCTTGCATTGCTTACATTGTGACGGCAAAAGTCCCCACAAGTATAGTAATACCAGTTCATTTTGACCAGTGTGTCTGCGTTTCTGTGTGTATTTGTTTGTCTGTGTCTGTGTGTGTGTGTGTGTGTGTATGTGTGTGTGATCGTGTATGTGTATGTTTGTGTATGTGTGTGTTTGTGTTTGTGTGGTTTTTATTCCTCACATTGTGAGAGCCAAAGTATATCCCCACAAGTATAGCAATACCAGTCATTTTTGACCTGTGTGTGTCTGTGTGGGCGTGTGTGTGTATTTGTGTGTGTGTTTGTCTGTGTGTGTTTGTGTGGTTTGTATTCATTGTGAGGGCCAAATGTCCCCACAAGTATAGCAATACCAGTTCATTTTGACCTTTGTCTTTGTGTTTCTGTGTGTATTTGTTTGTGTGTTTGTGTATGTGTTTGTCTGTGCGTGTGTGTGATTGTTTGTGTGGTTTGTATCCCTTAAATTGTAAGGGCCAAATATCCCCACAAGTATAGCAATACCAGTCATTTTTTACCTGTTTGTGTGTGTGTACGTGTGTGTGTTTGTCTGTGTGTGTTCATGTGTATTTGTTTATGTGTGTGTTTGTGTGGTTTGTATTCCTTACATTGAGAGGGCCAAATGTCCCCACAAGTAAAGCAATACCAGTTTATTTTGACCTGTGTGTATGTGTGTGTGTGTGTGTGTGTGTGTGTGTTTTTTCCCTCAGCGGTGTCTGTGGACGCAGTGAGGGTGTTTGGATACACAGCCTGGAGTTTGCTGGATGGTTATGAGTGGAATCAGGGCTTCAGTGTGCGGAGGGGTCTGTTTTACATCGATTTCAGTCAGTCTGAGCGCCGCAGAGTCCCCAAGACCAGCGCACACTTCTACAGACAGACAGTCCGAGACAACGGCTTCCCTGACACTGACACAAAACACATCCAGGCCCGATTCCCCTGCCACTTCCAGTTTGGGGTGTCCGACTCAATATTACAGGTGAGCAAACAGGAAAAACACCTGAACTACTGACTACTATTGATGAACACCCAATCGTCTCACAATGTACTGTTTTCTAAAAATTCAGCAGCTCATTTTCAATTACTCCTTACATCAGAACAGTAAAGGTGTTGTACAGCGTTACTACAGTGCTGTTGAATGCTTGATTCTGATTGGCTGATGATGTTTGGTTATTATCAGATAAACACAAAGCTAAAGTAGTTCCGGCAGCTTTTGAGCACATTACTGCACCATATCACTACAGGAACTGGCGTATAAATAATATATACTTCACATCACCACCTTGAGTGTGGCCTGTCATCAATTACTATGTACACTCACCGGCCACTTTATTAGGTACACTTGGTATTAGGTACAACTGCCTGTTACCACAAATGTCTAAACAGCCAACGGGAGAAAGGGAGATTGGCATCATGGATGTGCAGCCGACAAATCTGCAGCAACTGTGTGATGCTATCATGACAATATGGAGCAAAATCTCTGAGGAATATTTCCAGTAGCTTGTTGAATCAAAAAGGATTAAGGCGGTTCTGAAGGCAAAAGCCGGTCCAGCCTGATACTAGTAGGTTGTACCTAATAAAGTGGCCGGTGAGTGTACATAGACTGTAAAAACAGTTTATTACCACCAGATTACAACACCAACCCAGTCAATATATCATTCAAACTATTAAATATGTTAATAAAAGATGCTTTAAAGGAGCTATAGTAAATAAAGTTTATTAATATTACCATTATTATTATTTATTATTATTATTATTATTATTATTTATTATTATTATTATTATTATTATTATTTATTATTTATTATTTATTATTATTATCATCATTATTATTATTATTATTATCATTATCATTATTATTATTATAATTATTATTTATTATTATTATTAATATTATTATTATTATTTATTATTATTATTATTATTATCATTTTTATCATTATCATTATCATTATCATTATTGTTATCATTATTATCATTAATATTATTATTAATATTAATATAATTATTATTAATATTATTATTATTATTTTATTATTATTATTATCATTATTATCATTATCATTATTATTATTATTATCATTATTATTGTTATCATTATTATCATTAATATTATTATTATTATTATTATTATTATGATTATTCTTTATTATTATTATTAATATTATTTATTATTTATTATTTTATTATTATTATTATTATTATCATTATTATCATTATCATTATTATTATTATTATTATTATTATTATTATTATTATTATTAATATTATTATTGTTATCATTATTATCATTAATAGTATTATTATTATTATTATTATCATTAATATTATTATTATTATTTAATATTATTATTATTATTATTATTATTATTATTAATATTATCATTATTATTATTTTTAATATTATTATTATTATTATTAATAATAATAATAATAACAATAAGAATAATAATAATAAGAAGAAGATGTTTTGCAGAGTACAGAGCTCTATTAAGCTCTCTCTATGGTTGTGTTTTCCTCTCAGGTGCGTCTGCATCCGTTCTCACCTCAGTTCACAGACCCACACCTGTACCGCTGGAATTTTTCCGGTGACGGATCTTTAAAGCCGGTAAACGGGATCATCCTGCACACGCGGCCGGCTCAGTGCACTGACTTCCTCTTCATCCAGCGGCATCTGTTTCTGCTGGGGGTCACGGGGTCAACACACTACCGCTTCTCCCTAGACTGGACTCAGCTATCGCCCTCTGCTGGACACCCGGAGACACTGCGCTTCTACAGGTGCGTGTTCAGCGAGCTCCAGCGGAGAGGGATCCAGCCAGTCGTGACTCTTTATCACCCCAGCTACAGGTCTTCATCTCTGGGTTTACCTGAAGCGCTGCATGCTAACGGCGGATGGAGGAACGCTAGCACTGTCGATGCATTCGTGCGCTACGCTACATTCTGCTACCGAGAGTTCGGTGCACTGGTGCATATGTGGATTACTATTAATGAGCCCAATCGATTAACGGATGCGTATAGCGGAAGTGCAGATGATAGACGAGTAGTCGCACGACATCTGCTGCTGGCGCATGCGAAAGCCTGGCGTGCTTATGATGTGTATTTTCGCAAACAGCAGGGGGCGACGGTGAGTTTGGCGCTTCACGCTGATTGGGTTGAACCGGCGAACCCGTTTTTGGAGTCACACAAAAATGCGCAGCAGCATTTCTTATTGTTTGAACTGGGACGATTCATAGATCCACTATATAACCAAGAGAGCTCCTCGTCTACTCTGATTGGCTGGAGTGACGATGAGAGGGAGGAGCTTAGAGGAGCGCTGGACTTCATCGCTCTGAATCACTTCACTACGCGTTTGGTTTCACCGTGGGCTCACCTGAAAGCATCAACGCCAGATCATGGGTGTTCGCTGATGAACGATGTCAACTGGCAGACCTCGCAGATGGGGCAGGCGCTGGTACCCTGGGGGCTCCGCAGGATGCTGGGATGGGTGAAGAATCGCTATGGCAACCGCCTCCCCATCATTATCACTGCATCAGGAGTGGATGATCAGGCGGCCTATCATGACCAGCTGAGACAGAGTTATATCAGAGACTACCTGCAGGAGGCGCTCAAAGGTGAGAGACACACACATACATACACACAATTATTCATTCATTTTTCTTTGGCTTAGTCCCTTTATTTATCAGGGGCCAACTATTCCAGCATATGTTTTACACAGCGAATGCCCTTCCAGCTGCAACCCAGTACTGGGAAACACCCATACACACTCATTTCCACTCATACACTACGGCCACTGTAGTTAATCAGTTCCCCTATAGTGCATGTGTTTGGACTGTAACCGGAGCACCTGGAGGAAACCCACGCCAACACGGGGAGAACATGCAAACTCCACACAGAAACACCAACTGACCCAGCCGGGACTCGAACCAGCAACCTTCTTGCTGTGAGGTGACCGTGCTAACCACTGAGCCACCGTGTCGCCCTATATGTTTATTAAATCTTTATATATTAATAGAAACTCCAGTGATTATGAAACATCCTTATTATTGTGGTCTTATAGCTGTGTGTGTGTGCGCGTGTGTGTGTGTGTGTGTGTGTGTGTGTGTGTGTGTGTGTTATCAGTGTTATCAGAAGTACATAGTTTCATCAGTGTTTCCTCTGAGACACCACATCCTGAGGTCAAAGGTCACACTGCTGTAACTGCAGGTTTATGATGGACCTTTGAACACACACACACACACACACACACACACACACACAAGCACGCACGCATGCACACACAAACAAACACATTCACTTACACTGACACACACATAAACACACAAACTTACATCAACTCACATCTCACATACACACACACACACACACACACACACACACACACACACTTATACCTACTCGCATCTCACATACACACACATGCACGCACACACACACAAACACATTCACCTACACTGACACACACATAAACACTTACACACACTTGCACACAGACACAAACACACACACACACACACACACACACACACACACACACACACACACACACTTATACCTACTCGCATCTCACATACACACACATGCACGCACACTGTCTTACTCTCACACATAAACGCTCACATACACACACACACACACACACGTGAACACTCTCACACATGAACACACACACACACACACACACACACACACACACACACACACACACACACACACACACACACACACACACACACACACACACTCACTTATACCTACTCACATACACACACATGCATGCACACTCTCTCACTCTCACGCATACACGCACACACTGACTTTCACACACTCTCTGACATCTACAAACACACACAGATTCACACACACACACTCTCTCTCTCTCACACACACACACACTCCCTAACTTTGACATGCACACACACAAACACACACTCTCTCTCTCTTTCTCTCTCTCTTACACACACACACACACACACACACACAGCTATCATGTGGACATCAGCTGATCTTTTCTTACAGTGTTTGTGCAGACGTGAGTCAGAGTCGCTTCACGCGTCTGTGTGTGTGTTCAGCCTGACAGATTACGTGATAAATCTGTGAACACCGTGACCTGTTTTTACCTGCGCGCAAAACAGTGTGTGTGTGTGTGTGTGTGTGTGTGTGTGTGTGTGTCTGTGTGTGTCTGTGTGTCACTAACTGCACTGTCTATCATTTAAAAATAAAACCATAGACAAACAGACGTCACGGTGGCTCAATGGTTAGCACTGTGTCCTTACAGCAAGAAGGTCGCTGGTTCGAGTCACAGCTGGATCAGTTGGCATTTCTGTGTGGAGTTTGCATGTTCTCCCCATGTTGGCGTGGGTTTCCTCCGGGTGCTCCAGTTTCCCCCACAGTCCAAACACATGCGCTATAGGGGAACTGATCAACTAAACTGGCCGTAGTGCATGAGTGTGTATGTGAATAAGTGTGCATGGGTGTTTCCCAGTACTGGGTTGCAGCTGGAAGGGCATCTGCTGTGTAAAACATATGCTGGAATAGTTGGCGGTTCATTCCGCTGAGGCGACCCCTGATAAATCCCGAAGGAAAGTGAATGAATGCACATGCACTGAAGTCCCTCTGGCTCTGTGTTTCTGTGAGCAGCTCGTGAGCTGGACGGCGTTAATCTCAGAGGCTTTTACATCTGGAAGCTTCAGGATCATCATGATCTTCAGTTTGGGCTCTTCAGCTCCGCCGCTCATCATTCTCGGCCCAAAGCATCAGCGAGTTTGTACCGGGACATCATCTCCCACCGCGGATTCATTTCATCCGGCGACCCCTGTCAGAGCGCAGATGAGGACGGGACGAGCTGTGAAATCTGCGCACACATCGCGGAGAACAAACCCCTGCTGTTCTTCAGTGTGTGTGTGTTCGTGAGTGTGTGTATGATCTGTGTGCTCATCATTCTGTCTGTGCTGAGGAAGAGGAGGAGGAAGAGGAGAAAGACCCTCAGTGTCCCACAGAGGGTCCCTGTCCCGCAGAGATTCCCCATGATGAGGGTCACACACAGGCTGCGCCACTGAAACACACACACACACACTCACAATTTTCCTGTGAAAGTTGCATTGTTTTTTTAATATTTCTCAAATTATGTTTAACAGAGCAAGGAATTATTTTATTATTTCCTATAATATTTTCACTTATTACTTATGTTAGTTTGGCAGAAATAAATGCAATTTCTGAATTTTTATAAACAATTTTTATGTCAATATTATCACACAAAGTTGTATTGCTTTTTTTTTAAATATTTCCTGAATTATGTTTAACAGAGCAAGAAAATAGTTTTTAATATTTCCTATAATATTTTCACTAATTATTTATGTTAAAATGGCAGAAATAAGAGCAGTTTCTGAATTTTTAAAAACAATTTTATAGTCAATATTATCAGTTCGCAGAGACATACAAAGCTAAGAATGTTTTAAGAAATATTTCCCAGATTATGTCTAAGCATGGACATATTTTTAAATATTTCCTATAATATTTTCACTTATTAATTATTTTATTTTGACTGGAATGAAAACAGTTCTAATATTTTTTAAAAATATTTTATAGTCAAAATTATCTGCATGCAGAGACATACAGTACAGTTAAAGGCAAAGTTTCGCCCTTCTGTGAATCTTTTAAATGATTTGCCAAATTATGTTTAACAGAGCAAGGAAATATTTTATCATATTTTCTGTATCATTTTCACTTATTATTTATGCTAGTTTGGCTGGATTAAAAGCAGCTTTTAATTTTTTATGAACAGTTTTATTGTCAATATTATCACACAAAGTTGTATTATTTTTCAAATATTTCCTGAATTATGTTGATCAGAGCAAGAAAATAATTTTTAATATTTCCTATAATATTTTCACTAATTACTTATGTTAGTGTGGCAGAAATAAAAGCAGTTTCTGAATTTTTAAAAACAATTTTATAGTCAATATTATCAGTTCGCAGAGACATACAGTACAAGGCAAAATTACTCGCCATACCTGAGAATATTTTAAGAAATATTTTACAGATTATGTCTAAGCATGGACATATTTTTAAATATTTCCTATAATGTTTTCACTTATTAATTATTTTAGTTTGACTGCAATGAAAGCAAAAAAAAAAAAAAAACGTTTTATAGTTAATATTATCAGCCTGCAGAGACATACAGTACAGTTAAATGCAAAATGTTTTGCCATCCTGTGCATTTTTTTTTTCAAAATATATTGCCAAATTATGTTTAAATGAGCAAGGAATATTTTTAAATATTTCCTATAATATTTTTACTTATTGCTTATGCTAGTTTGGCTGGATTAAAAGCAGTTTTTGAATTTTTATAAACAGTTTTAATGTCAATATTATCATACAAAGCTCTGTTGTTTTTCAAATATTTCCTGAATTATGTTTAACAGAGCAAAGATTTTTTTCCCCTATAATATTATTTGCTTATTGCTTATTTTAATTTGGCAGGAATAAAAGCAGTTTTAATTTTTTTTAAGTCATTACTATTAGGCCACAGAGATACTATTAAAGGCAAAATTATGCACCCCCCTTTATTGCCTAACCCTAATCTCCCTCCACCACCCCTTTATCTTAAATAGTTCCCAAAACTTTAACAGAGCAGAGATATATTTTGAGTATTGATTATAATGTTTTTACTTATTAATTATTTTAGTTAGGCAGGAATAAAAGCAGTTTCTGAATTTAAAAAATAATAATGTTAATGTCAATATTTTCAGCCCGTATAGATGAGGGCCACACACACACACACACACACACACACACACACACACACACACACACACACACACACACACACACACACACACACACACACACACACACACACACACACACACACACACGTTATTTTTAATATTTCCTTAATTATGTTTAACCAAGCATGGATTTTTTTTTTACTTATAAGTTGTTTTAGTTTTGTAGGAATAAAAGCAGTTTTCAAATTTTATAATACAGTACATTTGAAGGAATGAATCCTGTGATTTATTTATTTATTATTTTTAAATATTTCCAAAATTTTGTTTCATAGACCAAGCTAATTATGTTGACCTTTACAAATCTAAAGTCAGACTTTAACAAAAAATCACTAGAGGGAACCAGAGCTGTACATTTCAAGGGTGAAGTGCGCGTGCGCCACCTAGTGATGTACAGTTCTCTGGAAATTATCAAAATAAAACAATCTGAAACACACACACACACACACCCACACACGCGTGCGCGCGCGCAGCTGAATGTTAATTTTTGCAATGTTAAGCTATACAAAATGTATTTATATTTGATTTTATGTGCAATTATAAATGTATTTTTGGAATATTTTTAATCCATACATTACTTTAGTTATCCGTTTTGCGAAAACTATTTCTGATTTTTCTCTGAACACTGAAAAAACATCCAATTCTACATCCACTAACCAATGCTAAAGTCAAATTACATCTGCAACGTTTTCACTTTATTACAGAACATTATTAATGTTTTTTAATCTGCCTGAAGTGATTTTATGTTCATGTGATCAGACAGAAAATCTTATTATCTTGTTAAATCAAGAGTCTTATAGGTTTATTATTTAATAAAAATCATATTTAATTCATATTTTTATTAGATAAAAAGTAAATAGGCTCTAAACTAATCATTTTGCCAGGGATTTAAATCATTTAAATGGCTTAAGATAAACTCTAGAGATGATCCGGGAATGTTAACAATGTCTTTTGGTTGTCTTTTCTTGTTGAATGATGCTTTTCTTTGGTATAATCTGAAAATCCTGCTCTGCTTGTTTCAGGCTGTGTTTTGCATAAAGCTGAAAGACTCGGCGCTGTTTTCTGCTGTGTCTCGCATGACAGCACACAGTAATTAAGTTGTACATGTGTGCATCACCCTGGCATCTGTGTTTTACATGTCAGCATTCGTGCAGAGGAATGTTTTGTTTGGCATGTGGACAACACTTGGAGTCAGATCAGTTTTCTTCTGAACACACACATCACAGGAGCTGCTGTCTCTAATTACTGTCACCGCTGCTGTTGGTAATTGCAGTGCGCTGCATGTAAAATATCAGCGGTGTTTCTGCAGAACAGCAGTGATGGACATTCATAACATTCTCGTGCATTGATTTATTGCACAGCAGGCACACAATGTCATTAATATTAGTTTAGATTTAAGTCTTGACATCAGGTGACCAAAATTCAATGTTTAGTCAGCATCTAAGGCAGGCATGGGCCAGTATAAGTCTCTGACAGTATGATAACCTTGAATAAAAATATCACAGTTTCACAGTATCACGGTATTGTGTTTACTGCTGTAAAATAGTTTCTATTTGAGAAAAAAACAACAACTTTTTCCTGATTTAACACAATATATTACATTTTACAAAATGTTTCTAATATTTTGGAGCAGCAAACATCTCAGGCTACTTAATTAAAATGAAATGTAATTGCAGTTCTACTTTCATTTGCTTTAAAATGACAGAGTTCCTTAAAACACATAAACAAAAAACACTTAAAAAAATGTACATATACCATAGAAATGGTATAACAAAATATTTTTGCGGTTTTAATACCTTGACTTTTCCAAACCGTGGTAAACTTTGACTATGGCTGAAAGTATGTCTTGTCTAGAATAGTTGGCACGGGTTGCAGATCTGCACACGCACAGGCAAACTCATGAAAAAGCTCCAGATCATTAATGATAGAGGAGGAATTCAGATTAACTTGATCAACATTATTGTGTTATTTTTCTTCTTTAAAGCTCATAGTCAATGCTACTGATATTCAGAAAATCTTTCATCCTCCTGTGAAGTTTATAAACTTTTTTTTTTTCAAATATTTCCCAAATGCTGTTTGGCTGAGCAAGATTTGTTAATTTTTTTACAGTATTTCCTATTTTATTTTTCTTCTGGAGAATAATGCATTTTAGTTTAGCTGGAATAAGAAATTGTAAAAATGCTGTGCTTAATATTATTAACCCCTTAAGGGTTTTTTTTTGTCTGATTGTCTACAGAATCCACTGTTGTGCTATGACTTGCCTAATTAGTAAATCCTTTAAATGTCACTTTAAGCTGAATATCTTTCAAAATGACTAGTAAAATATTATGTGCTGTCGTCATGGCGAAGATAAAAGAAATCATCTTTCTCTGTGTTATTTAAAAAACAATTGATTTTCAATTTCACACAAGGGCTAATCATTTTGTCCAACTTTATATCATAGTTTAGAAATCATTTCAGGTGGATAAAAATGCAGAATTACGTGTTGTGTTATACGTGTCCTCGAAATGCACTTTATTTTTAATTTACAAGTATTCTACGTTTTAACGTTGGGAAATTGGTCTGAATTTTACAAAAAGAAAAAGGCTTAATATACAGAATGTGTAGGCACGTATCCTTAAGTAATCATGAATTTGAAATATTAATGCTATGTTCTACGACTTCCGAAACTTACTATAAAATTACTACAGCATTTCATAGTAAATGTGTTTTGGAACCAGATTATGGCGTAGAGTACTTGAATTAATATGTTGTGGTGATTCTACAGTTGCTATGGTAACACAATGACTACAGTAATTGATCTGCCATGGTGATTCTACTGTTGCTATGGTAACACATCAACTAATTAATCTGTTGTTGTGATTCTACAGTTGCTACAGTAACACATCATCTGTAGTAATTGATCTGTTGTGGTGATTGTACAGTTGCTATCGTAACATCAACTATAGTAATCGATTTGCCATGGGGATTCTACAGTTGCTATGATAGCGCAACAACTATAGTGGTTGATCTGTTATGGTGATTCTACAGTTGCTATGGTAACGCATTAACTGTAGCAATTGATCTGCCATGGTGATTCTACAGTTGCTATGGTAACGCATTAACTATAGTAATTGATTTGCCGTGGTAATTCTACAGTGACTATGGTAACGCAACAATTAAAGGAACTGATCTGCCGAGGAGATTCTACAGTTGCTATGGTAACAACAACTACAGTAATTGATCCGCCGAGGTGATTCTACAGTTGCTATGGTAACACATCAACTATAGTAATATAAACAAATGACCCAATACTGTAGTTTTCAGCAAATATACAGTACTATCCTTTATTATATACAGTATAATACACTTTACTATGATATGGTTTAAAAAATCCCTGTAGTATTTATTATAGTATATGTTCTTTTCATGTGGGCTAACATAACGTTTATAATTTGTGTAATCAGTTCAGACTGTCTTTATTCTGCCTGATATAATGCTGTATAGCAGATGCTTAAAATTGTATACATTTTTTCTTAAATTATAAAAATTGCAAAAAATAAAATCCTTTACTGCCGTGTCGGCAAATAAATTCCTCTGCTGTATTTGTAGATAAATTGGCCACAATCTTGGACTGTGTTGGCTTCTGTTTTAATAGAGTTGAAAAGTGAAAGATTACTGAAGTTAAAGCTATTCTCTTTCCATGCTGGATGAAACACCTGTAGTTTTCTTTCAGCTGTGCTCCGTTTCTCTGAGTTGTTTTCGTCAGGCCGTTTCCTCTAATCTTCCTTCAACATTTAGGATCAGCTTTCTGAAGACTCCTCTGTCTGTGCGATGAGGAATTTAGATAAATCAGTTTCTTTAAAACTCTTTCTAAACAAGAGCAGGTTTTTCAGCCGCCTGCATGCAGTGAATAGCTGACGAGATAAAGATCTGAAATAGCCTCACTTTTCTGCAGAATTTCATGTTGTTTTTAGCAATATTGCTTGAATGTGACAATATTAAATCTAAGGAATGTTTACAGCATTGAAAGAATACTAAATGGTTCAGGTCTGACCAAACCAAAAATCTTTAAACCTTTATTCTGAAGTTACCACTTTGATATTCAACAAGTAAATTGCAGATTTTGTTAATAATAATACTTATGTATATATATATATATATATATATATATATATATATATATATATATATAATTTGTTTTAGTCTATAATGTCTGATAACATTTAATTTAAATAAAATAATATTGACATTTACAATATTTATCATTTATTTGCACAAAATGATGATTTGTCAAAACAACAAATGGTTCAAATGAACTTTTCTTAAGTTAAAATATTGGTATTGTGTTGCTTAAAATTAATAACATTTCTATAAACATTGTAATTATTAGTATATTTACCAAATTGCAATTATAAAATGACCAACAAAAGCCTTTATAAATGCTGAAGAAATCATCAGTAGTGTCAAACGAAAATTCTGAATTAGCCAAACATAAATATATATTTTTATTTCCATATCTGTATCACGCATTTGTGCTTAAAAGCCTGCTGACTGAATAAACGCATATTTATAATCTATAAATGCATCAGAAAATCAAAACTGCACAATAAAAATTAAATAGACATTTAAAGAAAAGTTAGCATTTTTAATCTGCATAGTAACAATATTATAAATGAAGTTTTTTTTTTCATAATATATTTATCAGTATATACATAATAATAAAAGTGTTGTACAGTGTGTGTTTAAGGCTCCACGGACATCATAATCACAGTCATACATCATTTTCAACAATTCACAGCGGACAAGTTTGTCACAGCAGCCGAAAATACTTTGACAATTAATAAAAAAACGTAATGACAAATTATGGAAAACATTACATTTTATGCTATTTACATTAGGCTACTGAGCTAAAAGTAAAATTGATCACTAAAGTTCACATGGTTTCCTAGTGAAGTGTTTGTTTACTAAAAAACTCATTCATAATTGCAAAGTAGAAAAATAAGTTGGTTCTATGGGCTGCAATTGAAAAAGTGGCAGAAGATATTATTATTGTTATGATTACATAAATAAGTGTGTTAGTTTAGGCTGTCTGGAATACTCTCTTCTGATTGCTCAGTTGTGATGTTATAAGGTCAGTTATTCCTAGATAACAACCGCTGAATACAACAGAATCATCCGAGAACTGAGAGTCATCATCAGTGAATACGTTCACATCAATATTGTTACATCCACATTTATATGTATCTGCAGGTTAGTGTATACTCCATCAGCTGTTTTCGATTCTTGTTAGCTTTGTGTTTTGGTTATTTGGCGCCATCTAGTGTCTAAATAATGCACAGGTTAGTGTATACTCCATCAGCTGTTTTAGTTTCTTTCAGCTTTGTGTTTTTGAATGTTTGGTTCCATCTTTTGTCTGAATAATGCGCAGGTTAGTGTATGCTCCATCAGTTGTTTTTGACTGTTTGGTGCCATCTAGTGTCTGAATAATGCACAGGTTAGTGTATACTCCATCAGCTGAATAATGTGCAGGTTAGTGTATACTCCATCAGCTGTTTTCGTCTGTTTCACTTCATCTAGTGTCTGAATAATGTGCAGGTTAGTGTATACTCCATCAGCTGTTTTCATTTCTGTGAGATTAAGTTAAATTAAAGAATTAATAAATAATACACCTCTGAACAATGTTTTGTTTCCAATGTTTATGTTTTGTGGCCAGTAGTCATGTAGTAAGCATGATAAAGAACATCCAGACGGTTGTTGTCTCAGAATAAACCCTTCAGTCCGCTATAACAGTGCTGCACTTCACATCAGGCTGGTGATTAACCTGCCAGGCTTTATTCTGAGATAACAACCTCCTTTATCCTGAACATAATAACACATTTAGGCTGCATCCAACTATTTATAAAGCATTTTCTCTCTGCAAGCTTTACTTTTAGTGAACAGCCAGTAAATGGCCCCAGCTCAGTTCAGTGTTCTGTGTCTACTAATATAGTTTTGCGGCCAGTAGCCGTGTGATAATCCTGATAATGTACATCCATTTCTTCTGCCTTTTTCTGACAGGCTCTGATTTTTCTGCTGGCAGTGTGTGTGTGATCAGATCCTCCACAGGTCGTGTGTGTGTGTTCAGATCCTCCACTGGCGGAGAGTGTGTGTACTGATCATCCACATGTGGTGTGTGTGTGTTCAGATCCTCCACTGGCAGAGTGTTTGTGTTCAGATCCTCCACAGGTGGTGTGTGTGTGTTCAGATCCTCCACTGGCGGAGAGTGTGTGTACCGATCATCCACATGTGGTGTGTGTGTGTTCAGATCCTCCACTGGCAGAGTGTGTGTGTTCAGTTCCTCCACTAGCGGTGTGTGTGTGTACAGATCCTCCACCGGTAAGATCCTCAGCTCTTCAGATGGACAGGAGTTGCAGAAATATGGAAACAGTCTGTCGGTGAAGCGGTGTGTGAAGGTGTGTATGTGGTCACCTGCGAGCAAGATTATTTTAGACAATTAAAACTAAAACAAGACTGAATTTATTGACAAAAACAATCATAATTTGTTAACTTAATAAAAAAAAATCACAAATAAAAAACTGAAATGAAAGGAAACTAACAGCATTCACTGAAAAACGTCCTGAAAATAGCCTAAATTGCAATTGCAAACTAATTAAATAATCAACAACTAAAATAATATGAAGTTTATAACATAAAAAAAAATAGAATTAAAATAAAAACAAATTAAAAATGTTAAACTACAACAACTTATATAGTAACCTGTGAGTGAGTCCAGGAAGGTCAGCTTTCCGGCGTCCCAGTCCAGCAGCACCGTGACCCTGCTGACCCTCTGTCGGACCCCCAGCCGGGACAGACTCTCTCCGCAGCAGCCCTGGCCGTACTCCCCACTCTGGAAGCCCAGGATCCACAGTCCAGATTCGGGCAGCTGGTCTTGGGTCTGCAGGGCGGATTCAGAGATCACTCCTAAAGCCCAGACGCTGCTGTCGCCCACATGCACGTCCCAGCGGTGCGACCCGGAGCCCAGAGCCACAGAGCCCAAAACACTGGAGTAACCCTCACGCCCACCTGCAATACACAGAGCTGGAGGACAGCGGCGGCTGAAGCGGAGCGAGCGCAGACCCGCACACACACGCACGCAAGGGTGAGCAGAGTTCGGGTCCAGCACCACTGGAGCTGCGGAGGAACAAACATTACATTCAGAAGTGTCTCATTAGAGATGTAGAGAGATCCTGAAAATGTTCATATTTTGAATTTCTTTATTAAACGTGCTGCATGAATATGTTATTGATTGAATGTAACACTACTCCAGTAAACACTCCAGCAACCTCTAACCTCCCATATAAAAAATAATAAAATAAAAATCAAATAAAAGTAATCGTTAGAAATTCATTGAAAAAAAAAAAACATGGGAAAGAAAACAAAAACAGGGCTCGTAAAATATCCAGGACTCACTGTATTGAGCGGCGGTCCGCATCTTCTGCCAGACGCTGAACTTGAGGTTTCCCAGGTGTCTGCAGACGTCCAGCAGCTGCTCTGGAGGATCCTCTGAGTCTGAACTCAAACTGAAGCTCTGAAAACTGAAGATCATCTGAGAGTCAGAACTGCAGGAGATGCAGATGATGAGAGGATTCAGAGCTCAGAAACTCACCTGTCAGGGTCATCTTTATAGCTCTGCACACACGACCACATGGAGAGAGAGAGAGAGAGAGAGAGAGAGAGAGAGAGAGAAAGAGAGAGAGAGAGAGAGAGATGATGATTACAAACTAATCTCAATATACACAATAAGTCTATATTGATTTACTCATCCATCCATCTATCTATCATTCCATCTATTTATCCATCCATCTATCCACCCTTCCATCCATCTATCATCCCATCTATCCACCCATCTATCCACCCATTTATCCATCCGTCTATATACCCGTACATCTATTCATCTACCCCTCCATCCATCCATCCATCCAGCCATTTATCCATCTGTCTGTCCATCTATCCATCCATCATCCATCCATCTATCCAATCATCTATCCAGCCATCTATCCATCCATCTTGTCTGTCCATCTATCCATCCATCCATCCAGTTATTTATCTATCTATCTATCTACCCATACATCCATCTATCCATCCCTTTCCATCTATTGTTCCCATCCATCCATCCATCCATCCTTCCATTCATCCATCCATCCATCCATCCATTTATCAATCTGTCTGTCCATCAATCCCATAAATCCATTCATCCATCCATCCAGCCATCTATCCATCCATCCATCCATCCATTTATAAAGCCATTTATCCATCCATCCATCTATTCATCCATCTATTCATCCATCCATCCATCCATCCATCCATCCATCCATCCATCCATCCAGCCATCTATCCATCCATCCATCCATTTATAAAGCCATCTATCCATCCATCCATCTATCCATCCATCCATCCATCCATCCATCCATCCATCCTTCCATTCATCCATCCATCTATCCATTTATCAATCTGTCTGTCCATCAATCTCATAAATCCATCCATCCATCTATCCATCCATTTATAAAGCCATCTATCCATCCATCCATCCATCCATCCTTCCATTCATCCATCCATCCATCTATTTATCAATCTGTCTGTCCATCAATCTCATAAATCCATCCATCCATCCATCCATCCATCCATCCATCCTTCCATTCATCCATCCATCTATCCATTTATCAATCTGTCTGTCCATCAATCTCATAAATCCATCCATCCATCCATCCATCCATTTATAAAGCCATCTATCCATCCATCCATCCATCCATCCTTCCATTCATCCATCCATCCATCTATTTATCAATCTGTCTGTCCATCAATCTCATAAATCCATCCATCCATCCATCCATCCATCCATCCATTTATAAAGCCATCTATCCATCCATCCATCCATTTATCCATCTATCTACCTACCCATCTATCCATCCATTCATCCATCCGTCCATCCATTTATCAATCTGTCAATCCATAAATCCATCCATCATAATTTCAAGTGTTTTTTCATTAATACAGTCCTGTGAGTGTGTGTGCGCATGTGCATGTGTGTGTGTGTGGAGTCTCTCACCATCAGTAACTCGGCGCTGCTGGTCTGGATCTGCTGCTCAGTGTTGTGTATGGTCAGAGCGAGTGCTGAGATCTGCCTGCTGATGCTGCTGATCTTCTCCTCAATCTTCATCCTCTTCTCCTCCTCTTCCTCTCTCAGCGCCGTCACTCGGAGCTGCTCTTCATCCCGCAGGAACTGATGAAGATCCTCCATCTCCGTCCGAAGATCCGCCTCGGCCTGCTCCGCAAGATACTGCAGCAAAGAAAGCAGCAGAAATTAGTTATTAAAACTATTTAAAAAATAATACAAATAATAATAATAATTTCACATGCAGGAATTCATATTATTTAAAAAATGTTCTTTTAGGTTATTTATTAATGTTTTTTGTTATAATAATGTTTTAAAAATGTGTCAGTCTCATGTTATATTAATGTTATTGAAATACTGAATCCACATTATAGTAATGTTTTTCTATGAACGTTGCAAGAACTTTACAAAAACAATTAATTTTTGTATTTAACTAATTTAATTAGTATTTTTTGTATTTAACAAAAATATCCATTATTTAATGTATTTACCAACATTAACTAAGTATGAATAATCTTGTAAAGTATTTATTAATCATAGTTCAACATTGTTAATGCAGTATTAAGATCCAAACATCTCAACATTAGTTAATGCACAGTGACTTAAGATGAACAAACATTCATTCATTCATTTTCTTTTTGGCTTAGTATCTTTATTCATCAAGGTTTGCCACAGCGGAATGAACCACCAACTTATCCAGCATATGTTTTACACAGTGGATGCCCATTCAGCTGCAACCCATCACTGGGAAACACCCATACACTCTTATTCACACTCGTACACTACGGCCAGTTCAGTTCATCAGTTCCTCTATAGCGCATGTGTTTGGACTGTGGGGAAACCGGAGCAAACCCATGCCAAGACAGGGAGAACATGCAAACTCCACACAGAAACACCAACTGACCCAGCTGATTTTCTTGATGTGAGGCAACAGCACTACTTACAGCGCCACCACTAGTTTGTTAGTGTTAGTAAATACATTAACTAGTGGACCATTCTTTTAAAGTGTTACCCATTTAATAATGTTACCTGCTAACATTTGCACAACCTCTAAGAAACATTGCGGAGTGTTGGGAAAGTTACTTTTCAGGTTGGTTTTTATTGTTTTTCAGTGCTTGTTTGTACCTGCATGCGTTTCACTCTTTGACGCCCGATCGATTTCTGCGATTGTAAGAGTTTGAGCTGCTCCCGCAGTGGCTCCAGTCTTGTTTTGAGCTTCTCCTGAAAATAACATTGGAGAAAATTAGTACAAATCAATGACTAGAGCTAACACAAGAAGCCTGATATCTGCCGATTCACTCTTCCTGTGATTATGATGCAGTTTTCTCCCAACACACTACATTTATTTAGAGGTATTAAAATTTTAGAGAAGGTTTGCATTCAAACTATGAGGGTTTATTTTCTCAGTCCTTTCTGTTCATGGTCCGATTCACGTCCATTCATTTCTTACTGCTTAATGTTATCTTATGAACACATTATTCTCATGGATGGATGGATGGAAATATAGATAGATAAATAGATAGATAGATAGATAGATAGATAGATAGATAGATAGATAGATAGATAGATAGATAGATAGATAGATAGATAGATAGATGGATGGATGGATGGATGGATGGATGGATGGATGGATGGATGGATGGATGGATGGATGGATGGATGGATGGATGGATGGATGGATGGATGGATGGATGGATGGATGGATGGATGGATGGATGGATGGATGGAAATTTAGATAGATAGATGGATGGATGGATGGATAGATAGATGATAGATAGATAGATAGATAGATAGATAGATAGATAGATAGATAGATAGATAGATAGATAGATAGATAGATAGATAGATAGATAGATAGATAGATAGATAGATGGATGGATGGAAATTTAGATAGATAGATGGATGGATGGATGGATAGATAGATAGATAGATAGATAGATAGATAGATAGATAGATAGATAGATAGATAGATAGATAGATAGATAGATAGATAGATATAGATAGATAGATAGATAGATAGATAGATAGATAGATAGATAGATAGATAGATAGATAGATAGATAGATAGATAGATAGATGGATGGATGGATGGATGGATGGATGGATGGATGGATGGATGGATGGATGGATGGATGGATGGATGGATGGATGGATGGATGGATGGATGGATGGATGGATGGATGGATGGATGGATGGATGGATGGATGGATGGAAATTTAGATAGATAGATGGATGGATGGATGGATAGATAGATGATAGATAGATAGATAGATAGATAGATAGATAGATAGATAGATAGATAGATAGATAGATAGATAGATAGATAGATAGATAGATAGATAGATAGATAGATAGATAGATAGATAGATAGAATCACCACTGGCTCATGTGTACCTTGATGCCGTTAGCGGCCTCCTCCACAGGTGTGCAGGTGTGCTGTTGGTGTGTGTTTTCTCCTTCCTCCACACACACACTGCACATCAGCCGCTGCTCCTCCTCACAGAAGAGCTCCAGAGTCTCCCCGTGCTCCTCACAGCGCAGATGAGCTTCTGCGCATGCGCCACTGCTCCTCTCCTGCTGCAGGATCTCGCACAGGTTCTTCAGCGCGCGGTTGCAAGGCGGATGTTCCATGGGGAAGAGCGTCCGGCACTCGGGGCAGATCCGGGACCCGCTGTGCTCCCAGTACTGATGCACACACGCCCGGCAGAAGCTGTGAGAGCAGAGCAGCAGCACTGGGTCTCTGAAGATGTCTCGGCACACCGAGCACTGGAGGCTCTCCGCGAACGCCGACGCCATCTCGCCGTTTCCTGCTCGCTGAAAAGCGGCGGAGATTCAAATACAGCTGAGGCGTGACGTCACAACCGGAAAAACGGGTTCTGCGGGCGCGCGCTTCCTCGGAAGGCCTGGAGAGATTACGCAGAAGGCTATCTGTTTCATTCTGATCTCCTGCTTTGGTGTTCACTGGAAGGCGAGCATTTCAATGACCTACAGACAAGAAAAGGACAATTTCACTCTCAGTTACTGAGTACATGTGTATTCTAGTTAACAGCTGACTTATAATGGAAATACTTTAATTCTGAAGGGGAAATTTTCCATGACATTTCTCTGACTTTAAATAGTTTTTCTACACTTTAAACATGCTGTTTTGTTTTATTAACCCGATGTTGGGTCAAACATGAACAAACTCAACCATTGGCATAATTATAAAATAATAAATATAATAAAATATAATAATAAAGTTGGGTGGGATTCAGTGGTTAGCACTGTGGCCTAACAGCAAGAAGGTCACTAGTTCGAGTCCCGGCTGAGTCAGCAGGTGTTTCTGTGTGGAGTTTGCATGTTCTCCCTGTGTTGACGTGGGTTTCCTCCGGGTGCTCCGGTTACAGTCCAAACACATGCGCTATAGGGGAACTGATCAACTAAACTGGCTGTAGTTTATGAGTGTGTATGGCTGTTTCCCATCACTGGGTTGCAGCTGGAAGGGCATTCGCTGCATAAAACATATGCTGGATAAGTCGGGGGTTAATTTCATTGTGGAGACTTAAGCTGAAGAGAAATGAATGAATGAATGAATGAAGGTAATTGAAAATAATAACCCAGCACTGGGTTTGTCCTTATTTCACCCAATGTTGAGTTACAACAAACCCACAGTTTTAGTGTGTAAATTAAAAATAGCTAGAAGTGGAATGAGGAACAAATGCTGGGTTGTTGAAACTGTGATCAACACTTTTTTTCATTACTCTTTTCTACTTAACCCAACTTGACTTTTCCACTTAAACCAATGTAGGGTCAGAAATGGACAAACCCAATCCCTGGGATAAAAAGTGTAATTTAAATTAAGCCAGCAGTGGGTTTGTCCATGTTTGACCCAATGTTGAGTTACAACAAACCAGCATTTATTTTCATTCATTCATTTTCTTGTCGGCTTAGTCCCTTTATTAATCCGGGGTCGCCACAGCGGAATGAACCACCAACTTATCCAGCAAGTTTTTACGCAGCGGATGCCCTTCCAGCCGCAACCCATCTCTGGGAATCATCCACACACACATTCACACACACACTCATACACTACGGACAATTTAGCCTACCCAATTCACCTGTACCACATGTGTTTGGACTGTGGGGGAAACTGGAGCACCCGGAGGAAACCCAAGCGAAGGCAGGGAGAACATGCAAACTCCACACAGAAACGCCAACTGAGCCGAGGTTCGAACCAGCGACCTTCTTGCTATGAGGCGACAGCACTACCTACTGCTCCACTGCCTCGCCTTCAGCATTTATTTAATATTTAGAAAGAATTTAAAGTAGATAGACGTGGAATGGGAAACAAACGCTGGGTTGTTGTAAACCCAAGTCAGGTCAAATATAAACAAATAATTTAAAGGCTTAAAACGGATATACTTCGTTAGTTGAAAATTTAACCCAGCAAACTGAGTTTGTTGGTCCATATTTAGCATGTACAAAAACAATTTTAATGTAGCTAGAAGTGGAATAGAAAAGCAGCGCTGGTTATAAAACAACCCAGGCTCATTCTGAAAACGTACCTCTATATACATTTCTAGAGAGCACCAAATACGTCCCAGGAGCTACATTTTCACCAGAGGCCGCTGTCGACGCCGTTTCAGATCTTAAATTGCTCTCGCGAGTGCCATTCACTCCTGCTGTTCTCACATAAATCCACTAGAGACTGCTGTCGACCGACTGACTGACTGACTGACAGATCGACTGACCCACCCTTCCCTTCACTAAACCCAACCGACAGTGTTTTCAAAAAAAAAAACTAATACTACTAATACTTCCCTTCTTAGACTTTACAGACCTGAAACTTGCCTTTAGTACTTATTCATTGTTGCTCTTATAGTTGTGTAAATTGCTTCCTTGTCCTCATTTGTAAGTCGCTTTGGATAAAAGCGTCTGCTAAATGACTAAATGTAAATGTAAATGTTTTCAAAAGCAATCCAGAAAAAGAAAAGCCCTCGCCTGATATTTACCACATTTTTCAGATTTTACCACATTCTCACCATGTTGTTTACTTGGTTATTTTAGTTTTTGGATTCTGTTTGTGTCTCACCTGCTTTCTGGAACCATTCTTCACCAGACTCAAACCCTGTCATCATGGTGAACACCGCTCTGCGTCTCAAGTCCACCGACATACATGGCAAGCCACTGGACAAACAGCGGGAAGAGTCGTCCATATGGAGGTAAGCAGTCAGCTGGTAGCGTGAAAAGAAACAGCTTCATACCACCCCATATACAGTATAGTGTTGGATTTAAAAACTAAATGCAGCCATACGCAGCTCTGGCTACATAATTCACGATCTCCAGAAATGCATACAGGGGGACAGTTTCAGAATGAGCCTGTGTTGTTTTAATAACTCATTTTCAATAAATATTTTCTTTTGTCTTTGCCTTGATGATGATGACAGCGCATAATACTCTACTGGTTATTTTGCAAGACACTAGCATTCAGCCTAGTGACATTTAAAGGCTTCAGAATAAAAACAACAGGGAATATTGTGCAATATTTCCTCCCTCTGGTGAACAGCGCTCAGAAAATATTTGAAAAAATAAAATGCAAATTTCAGAAGAATTTTGCCTTGAGCTGTAGGTCTGTGTTACTGCAGGAGCACGTGTGTGGTGAAATACTGTACTGTAGACCTTTATGCAAACTTACTCCAGGACGAATTTAGCAAATAGCACAAAGTTACGGTTTATGCAAATTTATCTACACTCGAACCCTGATGAACTGTTCACCTCAGAGTAGGAGTGCACAGCGCGTGTGTGTGTGTGTGTGTGTGTGTGTGTGTGTGTCAACATTAAAAATCACTGAATAAACATCTGATGAATGATTTATTATGATTCATTAATTTTCCTTCGGCTTGGTCCCTTTATTCATCAGGGGGCACCACAGCAGAATGAACCGCCAACTATTCCAGCATATGTTTTACACAGCGGATGCTGTGTTCCAATCCAGTACTGGAAAACACCCATACACTCATTCAAACACACACACACACACACACACACACACACACACACACACACACACACACACACACACACACACACACACACACACACACACACACACACACACACACTATGCCCAACTTAGTTGATCAGTTCCCCTATAGCGCATGTGTTTGGACTGTGGGGGAAACCGGAGCACCCGGAGGAAACCCACAGGAAGAACATGCAAACTCCATGCAGAAAGGCAACTGACCCAGCCGGGACTCAAACCAGCAACCTTCTTGCTGTGAGGCCACAGTGCTAACCACGTGAGCCACCGTGCCGCCCTTGATTTCTTGTGATTTGCCCTCTTTAATGTAAATCTAAAAATGATACTCAACGCTGAAAAATCCAAACAAACATGTGTTAAATAATTAAATAATTAAAACAAAAGGTTATAAAGGAAATTACGTGTCAAGACATTCTCATGATTCAAAGACAATCTAACAATTGACTACATTTACTGTCCTGAATCAATCAGTGTAATCATATTAATCTATCTGGTTTTAAAAGGTGTAATATTGCTAGTATCTTAAGATGATCTTAATAGATCTTAGTATCTATTGCTAATATCTTAAGATGTGAAGTGAAGGGAGGGAAATTAAAACACTTCTGATGTGACTAATGAAGTGGCCGGTGAGTGTATAACGAGTCCTGCCCACCAGAGGGAGCCATTGCATTGATGTTATATTGACACATTCATTTATTATTATTATTTATTGGAACGTTCAACAAGAATACAGAAACCTACAGAAAAGGTACAGATCCTGTAAAAATCAAAGGTAGACACCGGAACAAAATAAAAAGAGAAACAAAAGATTATGCCAGGGGGAACATGAATTACATAAGGGTCACATACAATACAGTGCGCTGGGTATTATAGAAACGAGACAATACTGTAAGATTCACAAGGTGTAATTGATTTTATAGCTTTAACATTGCTAGAGGTAGAGATTGTATTCAAATAATATTTAAAATCTTTATAAAAAAATAGGGAAATTGAGCTTCACAGACAAAAGTTTGCATTTGTGTCTAAAAATTTAGCTGGTAAAATAAATAGATTTATTAGAAAATATTTATTTTTAGCTTTATCTACATGATAAAAAGCAAATAAAACATCTTTGTATGACAAAGAAAAAATATCTAAAAGAGATACACATATAAATAAACTGAATTCTTTCCAAAAAATCTTGCCATGGTTACTGACACGTTCATTTTTCAGCTTGTGTTTTTTTTTTTCGTTCATCTTTTGGTCACCCTTCATTTGGTCCAGTTTGAGTTTCTTTCTTCTGTTGAACACAGAGATATTTTGAAGAATGTTGGAAACCTGTAACCATTGACTTCCATAGTATTTGTTCCTCCTACAATGGAAGTCAATGGCTTCAACAGAAGAAGAAAAACACACATAAAAGTATGGAAACGCTAAATGTTTTTGGCTGACCTGTGCATTTAAGCCAACTAAATGTGGTTTAACTTTTAGCAAACAAGCAGATTCAAACCTCAGTCTTTACTTTTGATCTCCAACTCAAATGATAAATACATTAATACATATTAAAGCAAATATTAAATCAGTTTAAATGAGATGCACAGCTCAAGCCAGAGATCTCAAACAAACTAAGTGACCATCAGCAAATGCTAATTCAGTACAAAGATGAACTCTGAACCACACGACAGCTAAATAACAGACTGCTGCATAAATTAAGCCACTAAATGTAAAGCAATTATCATTTAAAATACTGGTTAGCACATTTCTGTTCAAGCATGTTGGGAACTTGCACAGCATTGATAAGCATAATGTGAAATTTGGCCAGACAGCTCTGTAAACCCCAAA